CTAGAAGCACAAGAGTTCATGACCTTATACTGAATCCTATAGATAAGAGCTGCGGGAATAGATCCCTCTTTCATGTCTAACCCATGAAAGCAAATATTGAGAAACAAGGAGTCTAGGATGTGTTCATCCATAAGACTCACTGTCTTATTGGGAAAACAGTTAAAATAAATCGGACCTTGCCCGAGACTGGTTTCGACTGTTCCTATAAGAGAATCATCAAATTTATTGTGACGAATATCTCTTAGACAAATTAAGACAGCAACATCTATGCCTATGTCTATCAAAGGTTTGATTGCTACCTGAACACATCCTATGTGAAGGTATTTGTATTTTCATTTATGGTCATTAAGGGAGGATTTAGACAGGAGATGAAATTCTTCTCCTATACCTTTTCCTAAAAGGATGTTGTTTTCAACAGTCTTGATGATGTAATCAGAACTATTTTTCTTGGGTTGATCTTCAGGAACATATAATGTATCCTGAGGAATGACTGGGATGGTCCAGTCATCCATACTTTGGTTGATTTCTTCGAATCGAACTTCTTTGTCGAAGAGATTGTGTTTAGGTGTGATTTCAGGAGAATGTTTCTCCTGATCATCAAAGAGATTTGTTTTAGATGGAGAGAAAGAAGATGAACTAGAGCCAGAGCGGAAAGAAATGCGGGAGAAAGATCTTAAAAGCTTAGACATAATAAAATATTTCTAGCACATCACCTTCATCTGGTTCCATAACAATATATCTGTTAATCATTCATAACTTATTCGACTGGATCTGGTTATTTGTGGACTTTTTTTTTTTTAATTTACAAAATTCTGAAATTCTTTTACCATAACCACCAGCTTCTTATGTTCTTAGTTTCTTTTGAATACATCATCGTCAAATTAGCCTTACTGCCCTTTCAACCATACGGGTCTTACTGCTACAGCCCTATTCAAAAGAACTAAAAACTGTTGTACTTCCAGTAAAGGATTTTCATAAACTTTAAAACTATACAAAAGCAATATTTCAGAACCATTAGTTCGTGGCGTTGTTACAGACAGGGACGACCATTACTGGTCTCACCCGAAGGGCCTGTCAGCTGTCCAGCCTATAAACCATAGTTACAGAAATTTCATAAAGAAATTTAAAGTCCAGATAACGATTCTGATGATTCTATAACGATTCATATATATATGTATGACCAAAATTGCTAACAATCTCCCACTGGTTACACATATATATCCTTACAATCCTTATAAATGTGTTAGACTTTATGAGCTCAAAAATTGCCATTACATACCTTGAGCATATTTCAAAAATCTCGTCTATTGATTACATCAACACATAGAACCAAAACAGTTTCCATTGTATCAATCACAATTTAAACCTATCAATGATTATTAATGTTGGCAGACTCAAATGACATAGACTTATCATGAAATGTGTAGCATGAAAATTACGTGAAGGTGGCCTGCACACGTTTATTTTCAACTGGTCATACTTTACTTCAATGAGATCATTTAATAACTTTAATTTAGAAAGTGTAATAACTGAATAACAAACCATATATATATATATATATATATATATATATATATATATATAACCAAATATATCCAAAAGTCAATGTATGCATACATAAAATCAAACATAAAATACATAAAAGTGATTAGCTCCCACTAAACCAAAGATTCCTCAAATTGTAAAACATTCATGTGAGCAACATGCTCATGAAAGACTTTGGGTGGAAGTCCTTTAGTAAGAGGATCTGCTATCATAGAGTTTGTCCCTACGTGTTCTATGACATTTTGTCCACTCTGTATCCTTTCTTTAACAACTAGGAACTTGATGTTAATGTGCTTTGACTTGGTCGAGCTCCTATTGTTGTTAGAATATAGTACAACTGATTTGTTGTCACAATATAACTTAAGTGGTATTTCAATTCCTTCCACAATTTGCAGCCTTATGACAAAATTTCTCAGCCATATTCCATGATTTGATGCCTCATAGCATGCGACAAATTCTACTGCCATAATGGATGAAGCAGTAAGGGTTTGCTTAGCACTGCGCCAAGAAACCGCACCACCAACTAACATGAAAATGTAACCTGAAGTGGATCTCAAACTATCTTGGCATCCTGCAAAATCCGAGTCAGAATACCCAGTGATCTCCAACTAGTCTGACCTCTTGTATGTAAGCATATAATCCTTTGTTCTCTTCAAATATCTCATAACCCTTTTGGCTGTTTTCCAATGATCCATTTCTGGATTGCTTAAATATCTGCCTAATACCCCAACTATGTATGCTATATCTGGACGCGTACATACTTGGACATACATCAAACTCCCCACAGCTGATACATAGGGAATCTTTTGCATTTCCTGAATTTTCAAATTTCCTTTTGAGCATTGTTTGAGGCTGAACTTGTCTCCCTTAGCAACAGGGGTATCTCCTGCTTTACATTCCTGCATGCCAAATCTTTGAAGTAATTTTTTGATATAGTTCCTTTGTGATAATCCAAGAGTACCCTGAGATCGATCTCGGTGTATCTGAATTCCTAATACAAAGGAGACGTCACCAAGATCTGTCATTTCAAAGTTTCTGGATAGAAATCTCTTGGTTTCGTGCAACATGCCTATATCATTAGTGACAAGCAGTATGTCATCAACATATAAGACCAAGAAAATATACTTGCTCCCACTGAACTTTTGATACACACAATCATCAACAAGGTTCATCTTGAAACCAAATGATAGAATAACTTGATGAAATTTGTGGTACCATTGAAGAGATGTCTGTTTTAGTCCATAAATGGATTTTGTCAGTTTGCAAACCATATTCTTTGGGTCTTTTGACACAAAGTTTTCTGGTTGCACCATATAGATTGTCTCATCAATGTTTCCATTGAGAAACGTTGTCTTGACATCCATTTGATGGAGTTCTAAATCATAATGTGCGACAAGAGCCATGATTGTCCTAAAAGAGTCTTTCAGTGAAATTGGAGAGAAAGTCTCTTTAAAGTCAATCCCTTCCTTTTGTGTATAGCCCTTCGCCACAAGACGAGCCTTATACCTTTCCACATTACCTTTGGAATCTCGTTTGGTCTTAAATATTCATTTGCAACCAATGGGTTTCACACCTTCTGGTAATGGGACAAGTTTCCAAACTTTATTATCTTGCATGGACTTATACTCCTCATTCATTGCTTCAATCCACTTTTCTAAATTGGAATCCTGCATGGCTTGACGAAAGTTGATTGGATCATCTTCCATCATACCATTATTTTCCTCATGTTCCTAAAGAAATACTATGTAATCATCCAGAATAACACTTCTTCTATCTCTAGTGGATCTCCGCAAAGGTATTGGCTTATGATGCACAAGTTCTTGAGGATTTTGAGTTTGTTCTTCATGAACAACCAAATCATTTTGAGTAAGGGGTTCATTAACAATGTCTTATGGAGGTTCCAGACTTGCTTTATCAAAAGCAACTGTTTGAATTGATTGTGGAATTGTTATCGATTCTTCTTCTAAGACAAAATCCCTAACCTTATTCTTCCCCCCAAACTCAATATCCTCAAAGAACGTGGCATTTCCCGTCTCAAAAATTGTCTTTAGTGTGGGATCATAAAATTTATAGCTCTTGGATCTTTCAGAATAACCAATAAAGTAGCTGCTCACTGTCCGAGAGTCCAATTTCTTTTCATTCGGCCTATAAGGCCTTCGCCTAGTCCAAAGCTCATAAGGCGTTTTAGTAGCTGCCTTTGTTGGCACTCTATTTAGAATGTAAGCTGCAGTCTTTAGTGCCTCTCCCCAGAGTGACTTTGGCAAGGTAGAATGACAGATCATGCTCCTTACCATATCCTTAAGAGTCATGTTTCGTCTTTCAGCCACACCATTCATGCTAGGTGACCCTGGCATGGTATACTGGGGGACGATTCCACATTCCTCTAGGTACTTGGCAAAAGGCCCTGGACGTTGTTCACCTGAACCATCATATCTGCCATAGTATTCACCACCATGATCAGATCTAACATTCTTGATTCTTTTGTTGAGTTGATTCTCAACTTCAACTTTAAATGTTTTGAACACATCAACAGATTGTGAGTTTTCATGTATAAGAAATAGGTATGCATATCTAGAGTAATCTTCTATGAATGATATAAAATATTGTTGACCATTCCAAGAAGGTGTAGGAAATGGCCCACAAATGTCTGTATGTATCAACTTTAAGACATCTGTAGCTCTATATGCACCTAATTTCTTTGTTTTGATATGTTTACCTTTAACGCATTCAACACAAACATCAAAGTCTGTGAAGTCAATGGAATCCAAGATCCCATTTGACACAAGTCGTTCAACTCTATTTTTAGAGATGTGACCTAGGCGCTTGTGCCATAATGCTCTTGAGTTAATATTGTCAATTTTACACTTAGTACCATGTGATTCCGTATTTAAGGATTCGTTGTATGCAGCTACAGTGTCAAGCAAATATAGATTATTATAAGCCAAAAGTGAACCAGTTTCAACAATATCTGAATTAAAAGACAAATTGAACATACTGTTTTCAAATGAACACAAATAACCTAACTTGTCCAAATAAGAAACTGAAACTAAATTCCGTCTAAATGACTATACTACAAAAGTGTCTTTTAAATCCAAATAAAATCCAGTACATAATAATAATATAAAATTCTCTATAGCTTCCACTTCCACTGATTTTCCATCTCCAACATATATTCATCTTTCAGAATCAATTGGCTTCTAGTAGCTTAGGCAACCCTGCATTGAAACACTGATGTTAGTAGTGGCACCTGAATCTAACCACCAAGTGTTTCTAGGTACTGAAGTTAAATTGACCTTAAAACAGACCAAAGTAAAAAACCATACCTTTCCTTGTACGCCTAGATGATATTTGGTACATTTCTTCTTTAGATGTCCAGACTTATTACAAAAGAAACAATTGTCACCCTGATTTTGTTTCTTTTATGCTGGACCTTTAATAGCTTCATTCTTAAAGTCTTAAGTCATCTTTCTTTTGCCCTTGTCTTTAGAGGCACTCACAAAGTGGGCACTTTCAGTCCTTTCTTGCTTCATTCTTTCCTCTTCTTGCACACAGTTATAAGAGATCTTAAACTCACTAAACTGTGAAGGTAGAGAAATCAGCACTAAATGAATAAGCAAGTCTTCTGACAGCTCAAACTTTAGTGCCCTTAATTTTGAAGCAATATTTGACATTCCCATAATGTATTCCCTTATATTTCCTTTGCCTTGATACTTCATAGAAATCAAGTTCTGAAGAAGAGTACTAGTTTTCGCCTTATCATTTTTTGCAAAATGCTTTTCAATTTTAGCAAGGAATTCTTTGGCACTTGTTATATCATCTAAAACAGTGCCCCTAAAGACCTCAGGAATACCGTGCTTAATGATCATAAGGCTCATGCGATTTGAGTGATCCCACTTCTCATGAAGTCTCCTCTGTTCAGAGGTACTAGAATCTGTAAGAGAAGAGGGTTTCTCAATCCTTAATGCAAGGTCTAGATCCGTGCAGCCAAGAACAATTTGCATGTTCTCTTTCCAGTCCTTAAAATTTGTACTATTAAGAACTGGAACCGAATTTAGACTAGCAGATATAGAAGCAACAACTAAAAAAAACAAAATAAATAATACAATAGCTCACAAAACAGTCATCAATGCATTTAAATAATGGCATAATCCATCTCAAGATATCTAGTGCACCATTAATATCAAGTTTTTGGGCAGTGGAATTAATTGCTAGTGATATCCTTGTTGTAATGTTCAAACATTGATAATAAAAGCATATCAAATAACAGACCCATATTTGTATGTAATTTATCATTTATATGCAAAACTTCATAATTATCACACGTTTAACATCACAGGTGTGTTTGTAAACTAGTTAAATAGCAACTTTCCTTTGGGCCAATCACCATTCATATGAATAATTACACACATTAACATTTCTTATAAACAATCTACACAAGAGATGTCACTTTGGTGATTTCTTGATTCAATTAGCTTATTTAAAATGTTAAACTTTTATATAAAATATACAAATAATAACTAAAAATTTGAATATTAATATACCAAATAAAAAATAAATAAAAATACAATAACAAAATGTGGACTCACAAACAGTGAAATTATAATGCAAATTCAATAGGCTGAAAAATATGCCTTAAAAATAATATGCATAGAAAAATATTTAATATGGCCTATAAGTTCGAACTCAATATGCATAGAAAATTCAAGCTCCTGGCCAACGCGAAGGACGTAGAGGTTTGGCAAAAGTCAAGCTCGTTGCCTTGACATAGCAACGTTCCCAGGCAAGGAGTTTTGTGAAAATTCATACTCAAATTGAAATCAATAAAACATACGTCATATTATCCAATCAATTTAGATGAAATCGAATCAATGCACTGAAATCGAATCCATACGTCATATTCAAATTGAAGTGCGACAGTGTTTGAATGAAATCTAAATGCACATCGTTACATTAAATATCAAACGGAAACCCAAATGCGCAGCGTCAACCATAAGAGCAATTGATGAATACTTATCACCATATATTACAACTTAGAATTATGGAGGCAAATTTATTATAATATTGTAAATTAAAAAACAATTTATTATTTTATAGCAAATCTGAAACAATTTCTCAATCTGGGTTTTTTTGCCACGTGGATCAATTTTTGGCCATAACGGCTGGCGAAAGTAATTAATTTTTGAATTTTTTAATATCTATTTCGCCATAAAAAGTACGAAATATGACTTCTTAGAGCGGTTACTTTAAAACTACCCTCATAACTCTATTTTAGAGAGCGGTTCCTTATGAATCGCTCTCAGTAGTAATTTTAGAGAGCGGTTCCATTTGAACCGCTCTCAAAAGTCATGTTAGTGAGCAGTTCCATATGAACCGCTCTCAGAAGTACATATTAGAGAGCGGTCCTGGAGGAACCGCTCTCTTAGATTTAAAATGGACGGCTGGGGAGATTTTGATACACGTGGCAACATCTGAGATGATTCGCACTGCTACTGGCGAAAATTTATTTCGCCCTGCAGTTAGCAAAACCGTTCAGGCATTGACACGTGGCCAAATGTTCAGTAACTTTGACCGACGTCCTTCCTCCTCCATGACGGTCCTCCTTCGTTTCCATTTTGCTTTTCTCCGTCTCTGCTCCTCCATCATCGTCCTCTAGGCAGAAGTTTCAAAATTTGTTTTGATTTGCTGTGAAGGATCAAATACTATTCGATTTGTTTTGATTCACTCCATTTTGTTTTGATTCGCTCTCTAAAATTACTACTGAGAGCGGTTCATAAGGAACCGCTCTCTAAAATAGAGTTATGAGAGCGGTTTTAAAGTAACCGCTCTAAAAAGTCATATTTCATACTTTTTGTGGCGAAATAGATATTAAAAAATTCAAAAATTAATTACTTTCGCCAGCCGTTATAGCGAAAAATTGATCCACGTGGCAAAAAAACTCCAAATTGAGAAATTGTTTCAGATTTGCTATAAAATAATAAATTATTTTTTAATTTACAATATTATAATAAATTTGCCAAATTATGGAAAATCAATAAATACCAATTTGGAACCCTAATTTTAAAATTTCTAAAATCATACATAAATTAAGTATGGGTGGCTCTAATACCAATTGTTGGAGTTTTATCAAACAATAAGTGTGCCTAATCACATGTTATTATTTATATAGAATAAAATTACAGCACAATTATAGATTTTCTTATGAACCTATACCCTAATTCATAATGAAAATAGAATGCGGAAGCGTACCTGAATTTGCCATTAGAAATGATGAAGGTTATAAAATTGACAGCGAATATTTGATCTTCCAAATGTAGAGCACCTTAGATTTCTTTTTGGATTTCTCTTTTGATGGGGATGAAGAGAGAAAAAAACTGTAATTGTACGTGTGTTACTTGCTCTACAAATGAGGACCATAACCCTTGTATTGGTAACTGCCATCAGTTACTCTAAAATTAATAATTATAATTTGGCTCCTCATAAAATTATAATATCACCAATGGTATCTACACAATTAATTTTTCATGACATATATGCCCCTAGCCATAAACTTATATTAATTAGACCACTTTAATATTTTGACTAATAAAATAATAACTCTAACACATTTAAATTATGTAATATATATATATATGTATAACCAAAATTGCTAACGGTATATATATAGAAACTTACATATTATATATATATAAAATGTCGTTTTTGTTATCATCGCTAAATTCTTTTGAAATTCAAGTTCAAGTAAAAATGTTAATTTTTTTAAAACTTTTGTTTAATTTAATTAAGACTTTAGTCTTAAAAATAATTATAATATTTTCACTTTAATTGTGCTACTTTAACAGTGTGTTTGGATGAAATATTTCAAGTAAATAATTTATTTTTTTAAAAAGAAATTATAATTTTATGGGTTAAAAATTTTTGTTTGAATCTTTAATTTTAAAAAATTTAGAAATTTTAGTTAGAATTTTTAATAAGCTAAAATCAAAGAATTTTAAATTTTAATAAAAGAGTGACAATTTAAAATTGCTTTCATTTTTCTTTATGTGTTTCATTTAGGCTTTTATTTAGTTTTGGTTAATTTAATAATTTAAATTTCATATTTTAATTAATTTTATCAAATATAATAGGTATTTTATTTTATTTTAAGAATGTAAGTAATTTAATTATTCTATCCAAACAAAAATTTTTAAAATAATAAAAATTTAAATAATGTAATTTAAATTTCTAAGAATTTTAAATTCTTTAAAAATTTTAATTTTCCTTGTCCAAACACGATCTAAGAGGAATGAAAAAAAAAAAAGAAGAGTTAAGGTGAAGCCAGATCTAGACGTTTATTTACTCGATCATGTCTCAACAAGATTGTTTAGTACTAACAGAAACATAGAAACACAAGGAAAAAAAAACTTTCCAATATATATATATATATAACTTTTTATTTTAGCAACTGAAGGTTTAGGGGAATGAATGATATCCTTTTTAGAGGTCAATGCTTGTGATTAGGGGAATTGATTATATCAGTTTTTAGTTGCAAGAAAAAAAATTACATCATCCATGATCCAATATTGTCATTTTTGTGGTGTATATTGGGTGACTTCAATGCTGTGAGACAAGTGACAGAGAGGAAGGGTTGTCAGGCAGACTATGGTATCTCTGAAATGGAGGGCTTCAATTCTTTCATTCAGGAAATGGAACTTGTGGATCTTCCACTTGTGGGTAAAAAATTTACATGGATAAAAGAGGATGCTTCTATGATGAGCAGGCTGGATAGAGTCCTTGTTTCTAGTTCCTGGCTTGATTACTGGGGAGATGGTTTTATTCAGGTTCTGAGCAGAGATGTGTCTGATCATTGTCCTATTATTCTTAAGCACAAAGTGGTTAACTGGGGTCCGAAGCCGTTTCGATTTAATAATTGTTGGCTGACTCATAAAGAAGTTGTGGAGGTGGTGGAGGAAGCGTGGAAAAGAGATATTACCCTCCCATGGGCTGCCCAGAGAGCTAGCCAGAGGTTAAGGAATGTTAAGATTGCATTGAAAAAATGGAATATTAAGGTATTTGGAAATGTTGATAAGGTGATTTCTGATTTGACAACTGAGTTGAGCTTGATTGATGATAAAAATTCTGTGATAAAACTTTCCGATGTGGAGAAGAAGCGTCAACAAATATTGGTGGGTGATATTTGGAAGGCTAGGAAGAATAGAGAGAGTCTCATAGCCCAAAAAGCTCGAGTGAGATGGGGGAAAGAGGGTGATTTAAATACAAAGTTCTTTCATTTATGTGTTAATGGGAGGCGACGACGAAATAATATACATGCGCTCCAAATTGGAGAGAGATGTGTCGAAGAGGTTAATGAGATTAAAACAGGTGTGGTGTCCTATTTTACAGCTCATTTTAATAGTAGAAGTTGGCTTCGACCTACTATTGATATTAATAATTTATCAAGAGTCTCTGTTCTACAAAATGAGGAGTTTGTTAATGCTTTTTCGGAGGAGGAAGTGGGAAAGATGATTTTGGAGTGTGAGGGTGATAAAAGTCTAGGGCCTGATGGTTTCAATTTTGTGTTCCTTAAGAGGTTTTGGGGAGTGATCAAGGAAGAAGTGATGAGTATGCTTACTGAATTTTGTAGAAATGGGAAGCTACCTAGGTCTTTATTATCTTATTTTGTAGCACTTGTGCCAAAAGTGTCTTGCCCACAACAGATATCTGATTTTCGGCCTATCTCATTATTAGGTTGTCTTTATAAGATTGTTTCCAAGCTTTTGGCAAATAGGTTGAAAAAAGTTTTGGATTCAATAATTTCAGAAGAACAATCAGCCTTTATCCCGGGAAGGAACATGTTAGATAGTGTACTTGTGGCTAATGAAGCAGTTGATTATGTGCGGAGGTATAATAAGAGGTGTTTTGTGTTAAAGCTTGATTATGAGAAGGCGTATGATTCGATAGAGTGGGGATATCTTTTGTTTATGTTACGTAGCTTTGGATTTTCAGACAAATGGGTTAGTTGGATGAAAGCTTGTGTGTGGGGGGGAAGCCTATCAACTTTGATTAATGGTTGTCCTACATTGGAGGTTCATATTGAGCGGGGCCTAAAACAGGGGGATCCTCTTGCCCCTTTTCTTTTTCTTGTAGCAGCGGAAGGGTTAGGAGTTCTTATGCGGAAGGCAGTGACTTGTGGGTTATTCTCTGGTGTGACGATTGGGAAAGAGGGACCAGATATTTCTTTGCTGCAGTTTGCGGATGACACATTGATTATGGGAGAGGCTTCGGTGCAGAATTTGTGGACTTTGAAAGCAGTATTGCGTAGCTTTGAATTAATGTCAGGTATGAAAATTAACTTCCATAAATCTTTTGTATTGGGGATTAACACTGGTGATGACTTTGAAAACTTGGCTGCGGAGTTCCTACATTGTAAGATTGGTAGTTTCCCATTAAAGTATCTCGGGTTACAGTTAGGTGTTAACCCGAGAAAGCCTAGTGCATGGAAGGGTGTGTTAGAGGCTCTTAAAAAGCAGTTAGCGTCATGGAAGCATAGGTATTATTCGATTGGAGGTAGGGTGACTTTGATTAATGCCGTTCTTAATTCTATGCCATTGCACTCGTTATCCTTTTTTAAGGTACCGAAGTCGGTAATAAAGGAAATTGTCACTATCCAACGGAATTTTTTATGGAAGGGTGTTAAGGATGGATCTAAAATCCCCTGGGTGAAATGGAAAACTGTATGTAGACCGCGGAAGAATGGTGGCTTGGGCATTAGGAATGTGCAGTGGTTTAATTGAGCGCTTCTTGGTAAATGGTTGTGGCGAGGTGTTAACTGTTCTAGTTCATTGTGGGTGCGAGTGTTGGAATCTAGATATGGAAGATTAGCTTCTTCTCTTCAGCGTTCATCAGTTCACAACAGATGTTCTTTGTGATGGCGTGATTTGCTGGAGGTTATTCATCAAGGAAATTCATGCCTGAATGAGAAGTTTGATAGAAGTGTAGGTGCAGGTTTACACACTCTTTTTTGGAGAGATAAGTGGGTACGAGGGGTGCGATTGTGTGAAGCATTTCCGCGATTATTTGCAGTGGCGAGAAATGCTGAATCACGTGTATTGGAGAATGGTTTTCATGATGGCACTAGATAGGTTTGGAATGTTAGTTGGCGAAGAGGACTCTTTCAACATGAGATCTCGAGCTTTAATCTTTTGTTGGAGCTTGTGGATGGAGTTTCTATTAAGTTACTACAAGAAGATAAATGGGTATGGAGGGCAGATTCTTCAGGTTGTTATTCAGTGCAATCTGCGTATTCATGGCTATTTGAACTTTTTGGTGGTTCTAATAGTGTAGATCAGTGTACGGCAGATGCCTTGCAAAGGCTATGGAGAGGGAAGGTCCCTCTTAAGTGTCTGGTTTTTTCTTGGCAATTGTTGTTGAATGCACTTCCTTGTAAATGTTTACTGATTGATCGTGGTGTTCAAATTGATGATATAACTTATTGTTTTTGTCATGGTTTGGAGGAACTTCCAACTCATTTATTTTTAACGTGCTCAGTTTCATCTCAAATTTGGTACTTTACTGCGCGTTGGCTTGGATTCTCACTGGTTTTGCCTTCAGATTTATCGACTCACTTACTTTCTTGGGTTGGTGTTGGCTGTACTAAAAGAGAAGGAATATGCTTATTAATTATTTGGGTAAGTACAGTGTGGTCTTTGTGGTTGCATAGAAATAGAATTATATTTTCCAATGGTGTTTTGGATGAGAGGGAAGTCCTAGATTATATTATTCTGAGATCCTGGAAATAGTTATCACTTGTTAGTAAGGGAGAAGCTATTATGTTAGCTGATTGGTATTTGAACCCACGAAATTGTATCTGTCTTAATTTTGCATAAGTATATTTTTGCTTTTTATTTCTCTGAGTAAGTAATTTTTTGTGTATATGGGTTTTGAGTTCCCCTTGAACTCTTTTTAATAAGATTTATTTTGCCTATCAAAAGAAAAAATATTGTCATTTTTGAATTCACCATCTTTAATAATTTAAAATTAATATTCACAGATATATTTAAATAATAAGATGTTGTTTAGTGAATCAGACCATAAAAAAAGAATTATATAAGTACGAATGAATGTTAATTTTATAAAAAAAAATATTATATATATATATATACATGTAATTTTTATTTAATTAAAATATAGGGGTGATAGTATTATAAATTTTTATACTATTTTTTAATTTCATATAATTTAAAATATTTTATTTGTATGACAATTATTTTAAAAGTTATATCTAGATTATTTTAATTGATTAAAAGTATAATTTTTTAATTAATATTATATCACAAATTTTAAATTTGATTTAAATATAAAGAGACTATGACAAATCATTTATATCTTTTTATTGTTTCCTTTTTTATGATTTGTATTGAATTAGTAAATCAATTTATACACAGTTAGCACAAGTATGAAAAACTTATAATAGTTTTGTTGGAGAACATATTTAAAATTAAAAAATTATAAATATGTATGATAATAAATGTATAATTAATATGACTTAATTTAATATGTTAATGCATATATTTTATTTAAAATAAAATTTTGTCTTTCTCTCTAAAATTCTCTTTCTCAAACAACTTTTTAATGACAAATAATTTAAATTTTAATTATAGTTCAATCTTATTTAATTTTTTTAACAATGTCATTTACTATATTTGATCTCTTAGTTGGTTACATTTATAATCAAACTTATGACAGTTTACCCAATAACTATAAAAGTCTTTTACTTTAGCAAATCAAAATTTTAGTATTTTACTATGCCTTAGTTTTTTATTTACAGGGATCATACCATGACTTCTGCCAACCTCCATCCCCACTTCTACATCTCATTAATTAATTCATGAATAAATATGTACGATTTAGTTTTTTTTTTCAGTGAGTATTTATTAAATTTTTTAATTTTTTAAAAATATTTATTTAAATATGAATTTTCAATATTTAAAACAAACTCTAAAAACTGAAATTGACAAAATCATTCTTAATACTATGAACCTAGAAAAAGAAGAAGAAAGGAACAGAGGAACAGGTTCAGTATTTTCACGTTACAAGTGGATCCAATGGACTCGTGAGATGGCAAAGCCCACATGCATGATGAAGAAGTGGCCTAGCAGAAAGGCTTGATGTGATGAGCCCATAAAAAAGGAACATTGATGATGGATTCATGGACTGCCATTGTTGATGCTGGTAAGGAAAAGGAACCAACAAAACAGATTGGTCACATCCAAGGAACACGAATCTTGATTGGAGTTGGTATTCCTAATTATCTAATTCCATTCCAAGCCCACAGAAAAATGATTGGAGGGAAACACAGAGCAACAAATCAAATCATTATCAATGCCACTCAATTTTATTTTTATTTTTGTTTAAAAGAAGAAAGCAAAAGGGAGTATTAGAAAGTGACAAAATCCCAGTAAAGCGTGACAGTGCCAGCCAGCTCCATTTGCCAAAGTATTGTGCTTTTCCCATACCCATTTCCCTCTTCAGCAAATGGGTCATCTCCATCTGCTTCCCTTTCTTCCATAATTTAATCAAGTTTTCTGCTTTCTTTTCTCCTTCTTCTTCTTGTTGGGTGGGGTTTCTTTCACCTTACAAAGTACGAGGATGTTTTCTAGATTGATACATCCCCATGAAGGACAGGAAGACATGCAGGGTGCTCACACTCACACTCACTTGGGAGACCCTTGTCTTGTTTTGACTTCTGATCCCAAACCTCGCCTTCGTTGGACTGCTGACCTTCATGAACGCTTTGTTGATGCTGTCACTCAACTTGGGGGTGCCACTAGTATGTTTTTCTTGTCTCATTTTTTTCCCATTGTTTTCCACTTTTGTTTCTTGTCTCTTTCTTTCATGTTTTGTTGCTACTGTACTATGATGTATGCAACTGTGTTTTCTTGCTGTGAACTTTGAAGCCAATGGGGGTCCTTACAGCAGGGGCAAGGAAAGGAGTGGCCTTTATGTTCTTAACTGAACTGGTGATTTGGCTGGTTTATTCTTGGGGCTAATTCCTAAGTAATTTGTGAACATGTTTTGACTTATGTCCTGTGACAAGAATTTATGTCATGAGGGATTGGCTGTTTATGATCATTGTGCCTTAAACTATGGCTCGAATATAAGCACTCAATATTGGTCATCGTGAGCAAGCTCTAAATTTTTTGTTTTTTCAACTCAACTAGTTGAGATTCATCAATTTCTTTAATAGTGAATGTTGTAGAAATCACTGGTCAAGACTCGAGAAAACATGTAGAAGGACTTCACATGATTAGAATGTGGGATACTAGGGTATGTTTGGTTGGGAGTTGAATTTTGGAGGTGAACTGGGAAGGCAGGGGGACAAATTTCTCATTTCTAATCAATATTTTTTAATTTGATAAAATTTAGAATAAAAGAAACAAAATGATTAATTTGCATAAACTTAATGGGTTAGTCCTTTGTTTCTTGTATATAAATAAAATATTTCTACTCCTTCTCTTTCTCTTGAAAACCCAACACTCAAACATAATCCGTCTAGGGTATTGAACTTATTATGAAGCGCTGCTACACGTGTCTTCAATTCATGCTTGTTGTTTTGCGCCATTCTGGTAGTTTGTCACCACACTAGTTCTGTATATGTTATATATTACAATATTACAGTTTATGCATTGTTTCCATGAACTTGTGTTATGATGCTTTTTGTAATGTAATATTCTTTGCAAAAGAAAATGACTTCTTCAAGAGTTGAAAAACATTAACTAGAATTTGCTTAGCATAATGATATGATCTGGGAATGAGAAGAGGACAAAGCTTTTAGTTATTGGTGCCTCACCCAGTTTCTCTTGTTAAATTCTGTCGTTTGAGAAAAGCTCTTTATAAAGGCTGGGGATTCAGTCTGCTTATTTTTCTTGATTCAATTTGTGTTTAAAATTGGCTTTTGACTCTGATGGTGGTTTGTGTTTTTAATGGCATTATTCTTTTCTCTATTCGTAGTGGGGTTATGTGATGATATGTGAACATTTCCAGGAAATTCTCATAAAAACGAGTAATAAGTATTTGAGTAACATCTACCTCTAATTATTGGGGATACTCTTCATCTAATTGAGGCTTCTATTAGTCTTCTCACAACTATTCTAAAATTATTATTTACAGAAGCCACTCCAAAAGCGATCATGAGGACCATGAATGTCAAGGGTTTGACGCTCTATCATTTAAAGAGTCATCTTCAGGTTCATTTGCATATCATTGTTGTAACACTAATTTATAGAATCTTTGGTGAAATTGAAACTTTATGATAATTTTCATTTTATTATATTCTTTGCTGCATTGCAGAAGTACAGGCTTGGTAAGCAATCAGGAAAGGATTCTGACGAGGGATGCAAAGATGGTAGGTTTGTCTTGTTGAACTTTCTATATATGTGCTGCCCATCTGTTTTTTTATTATGATTTTTGCAATTATAAATCTGTATTCTTTTCAATAGGTCAGTTACCTATTTATCTCTGTTCCCTTGCTCAGAATAGTTTAATTTGGAATCTCCATCTGTATGAAACAGGCAAATTCATATATGTAATATAAACTTGTTGGTTATGGTATAAACTTTAACTTACTCATTGAAAAAATTATGGAAGGAATATCAGCTTCATATCTTCAAGAAAGCCCTGGCACGGGTAACTCGTCTCCAAAGCTACCAGCTTCTGATGCAAACGAGTAAGAATTTCATGGTTTCTTGAGAAACAATTTATTCCTGCCTGGATGTATGAATGGTTCTTGATAAACAAATCGAGAGTTGCAATGTCATATATAGGGGTCATGAAGTCAAGGAGGCATTAAGAGCACAGATGGAAGTGCAAAGTAAACTTCATTTACTGGTGGAGGTAAACTCCCTTTTCGTGGTGCAATGTGTTTTATTGTTTTGGTTATATTAAGACCATTTTGATTTGTATTGGTGCTAGACTAGGTGTATGCTTAGTTGCATGATGATGATCGGTTACTCTTTATTATTTTTTTCTCTCCTTTATTTTGTAGGTAGATGCCATCAACTAAACAATTAGCTGAGAGAATTTAATACTTTCATTTACTATTCCGTCAAAGAAACTATCTTCATACCTTATAAACGTACCCTAACACTTACTATTTTTAAGAATTCTGTATTGCAGGCAGAGAAGCACTTGCAAATTCGCCAGGATGCCGAGCGGAGGTATATGGTCATGCTTGAGAGAGCATGTAAAATGTTGGCTGATCAATTTATCGGGGATACAATTATTGACTCAGACAGCCAAAAATTTCAAGGACTAGAAAGCAAAGCATCAAGAAGTTCTTTAGTTGATCCCCTTGGCTTTTTCCCCCCACAATGCACCGAGGTAGGTGGAATGCATGTTTCAGAAGTACAGCCACCTATTCTCCAGCCTCAAGGGGCTGACTGTTCCACAGAAAGTTGCCTTACATCACTTGAGAGTCTGGGAGGGTTGACACTAGAAGGATCTCCTGGTGGCTCAAAGAAGAGGATGCTGAGCTTGGACACTATGGTAGCACCTTTGATCTGGAGTGAAGCAAACACAAGAACTCAAGGTATCCCTTTAGCCCAAGTTAACCCTTCAGGTATAACTAGGTATGGCATGTAGGTAGGGAAGGTTAACACGTTAGTTCGTCACAATATTGTAGGAGAGTTGAGGACATTGTGCTTCTCTGGAAGCTTTTAGGATTAAGTACTGAAATTCTTATCTGTTCTTGTCTATGAAATTGGTGGGAACAGAGCTGGAATTGACTTGTCTCATCATTTTGTAAATTGAAAATACTATGTGGCTTAACATGACTAGGACCATTGCAGAAAATGGCGCTGACCATTTACAATCACTGTCTTGTTTTTTAGTGGTTCCTTAATTGCATATCATTATGCGTTGTTTACATGAGGAGTTTTAGGATTTCGATGACTTTTTTCTTCCTTTCTAACTATTGAACGTTATTAGTTCTTAGAATTGTTATGTTCTTGTATAATAGTAGTTTTACATCAATTTTCTTGGTGTGTTTTGCATTGATTTGTTGCCCTTAGAAAACTAAGGTTGTGTAAAATGTTGCACTAATTGGATTAAAATTGGAATGGATTATAATTTATTGTGGGGAGTTTTATTTGTGAAAAGTAGGCAAATTGTATTATTTGGGTTTTAGATAAGCTCAATAAGTAATCAAACAATACATACTGTTACGGTTTTGCTGTTGCATTGACTCTGTAAGGATCTTACATATATATCTTTTGTCTACTTCCACCATTTATGAGATCAACGTTTGTGATTTACCATTGATAGCTGCTTGTCAAAGTTGGACGAAGAATCATCCCAAGATGTTCTTTAAGCACTTTGTTATCACAATTTTTTACATAATTCATATGACGCATATTACCTTTTATTGTATCCTGCGCACACCTATAGCATCTCGAATCTGCTTCGGGCAAAGACTGATAAATTTAAGAGTTAAAAATTTATACATTTTTAATCAGTTAAAAATTAATTTAAAATCACGTTAAATGTAATTTTTATAGGAATTATTATAAAAAGTAATATTTTAAATTATGCGACAATTCATGATTAGATAAGTATATTTTAATTAAATAATAGTTTTAGCTTATATCTTTCTGCGGACATTTAATGGATGTCGTACCGAATATATGGCTTATAAAAGCTGAATTAATGAGACAAGTAACAGCGTAATAACAAACATGCGTGGAAGCATATGATAATCATTAAGGTTAAGATATACAGTGCAGTAAATTTATTATTTTTAGGTTAATATCAACTTGGGCCATGTCAAATCTCAAACTGTCGAGTTAATATCATTTCTTCTGTTTCTAAAGATTGTAGAGATTGTCATATTTCTGTATTCATGCAATGTAACATTTCACTCTTGCCTTTTCTTTACATGCTTACACAAGGTTTTCATACTCCAAAAAATTATAATTTTCTCGTTTGATTTCTGATTTTTAATTTTTTTAAATAAGTTTCTTAAACATTATTTTTCTTTTTTATATGATTTTTTAATTAGTAATTCTTTACTTATTTTTGATATCTGACTTGACTCATGATATGATACAGAGTTGATATAAATGATAACGTGATATTTAAATTTTTTTTTTTATTTTTAAATCTAAATTTTAATAGTTTTAATTTAAGTTTAAATAATAATTTAATCATTGTACTTGTCTCTAATTTATAAATTAGTCTTTACATATAAATTTGTATATTTATTTTTGATTTAGCCCTTAATGTTAAATTTAAAATAAATAACATTAAATAAGTAAATGACTAAATCAAAAATAAATCTAGTATAATGATTAATTTACATATTTTTTATATATAGAGATTAACTTATAAAATTTTATATTTAAAGATTAACTTATAAATATGAGTCAAAAGTATTTTTATAAATTGAAAATAAATATACGTATAAAAATTGATTTATAAATTTTTTATATGTAGGGTATTTAAACCTTTAATTTATGATTTAAAATTTTATTCTTAAATATAAAATATGTGATGTTATTAATTTCTTTCATGATAATAAATTGAGTTAACAAATTATTAACAGATGGACTAACTGAAAATAAAAAATAATTAAAAAAAACTAGATTGAAATGAATTAAAAAGAATGGATTAAGCACGAAACACTACTACCTCACTCCACTCATTAATCCAAGATTTAGATTGCACAACAAAAGCAAGGAAAACATGTCCTGATACAAATTATTGTCACACAGAAATCACAACAACTTGGTCACTTCACTCCATCATTCAGGAAATTATTGCTCACTGCCAAACACATTTTGCAGAAAGAAATTAAAGCATATGAAAGGAAAGCAACTCACCATGCAAGGATGACTCTACTCAGAACTATCTATGTAGACTTCACAATGGGGCGGAATGTTATGCTTGTGAATATTGATTTCCATTGGCATGGTTGTCAATTTCAACTCAAGTAGAGAGTTAACATGCTTTAGTCCATCAGGAAGCGTTTTCATGCGCCGACATGAACGGATTTCCAGTTGTCTCAGAGAGGGGAGTGCTTGTTGCTCTATTTTCCATTCCTCTAACTGCTCCAGCTTCCAAAGTTTCAAGACATGAAGCTGAAGAAAGCTTTGAGAATTACAAACCATTAGTCTTCCCAGGTACGACTCTGCAAGTAGAGACAAGGACCGAAGATTTGGAAGATCTTTCAAAATTTGCATGGGATCCTCCTCCAGTTTGGAATGTGAAAGGTTAAGTTCAACAAGGCTTGGAGGAAACTGGGACAGAATAGATGAACAGCTCAAGATTCCCAGCAAATACATGTCAGTGAGATTAACGTGATTTTGCAAAGACTTGAGGTGTAAATTCCAAGGGCGTCCTTCTTCATCTCTTGATTTTAGCCTTAGTGAATGAAGGTGTTCAAGTTTCATAATCCAATCAGCTACTGCTTCAAGTTGTGATTCCATTTTCTTTTGGTCTGGCGACATTTGTTGGCATGCTAATCCCAATTTTCTGACACCAATCAATTTGTCCAAACCACCCTTTACTGCAGTCTCTTCGTCCACAAAAAGTCCCCACAAGGTTTGGAGGTCAGACAGAGAAGAATTAACTTTTGGTTTGGGTGGAAATCTGCTCCGATAAGTCTCACTCAAGAAGAGGTGTCTCAGTTCCATCTTCCAGATGGAGCTAGTTAGAATATGTATGTATGTATGTGTAAGATCAAGGGTCTGTAGTTTTAGCAAGCTGCTTATAGATGAAGGAAGTGATTCTAAGTAGGTCCATCTAAGGCCAAGATATCTCAGTCCAGAAAGTCTTGCTATGTTTTTAGGCAACCTTGGCTTGTAAACGCGTTCAAGATCAAGCACCCTCAGCAGTAAAAAACAATTGCTCGAAATACACCGCTTCAGAAAGTTACCAACGTCTTCGCCAGGTTTGCTTCCTTCTTGAGCATCAAAGGACAGAAACGAAAGAACATCCTTGTAGTGTGTTCTCAAGGTAGCTGATCCTGAAACACTTGTACTGTCACTGTGAATATGATTGTGCCAGATATCTCTTTCGTCCAGATGATCTGCTACCTGTCTTATAATGGAATTTTTCTGGACATCATCCGTATCCGTGGCAGTGCGCCCACGAAGAAATCTTGATTCATTAGCCTTAGTCAACCAGAATTCACGCAAAGCACGAGGGAGACGGCATGTTTTCGCCGTGCCGTTTTGCTTACGCTTTGCAATTTGAACCATGTTCAGGTCTATCAACTCCGTTAAGTACCTTCCTGCAATTTCCTCTGGGGGCTCCTTGTCTTCTCCCTGATGCACAAGACCCTCTGCAACCCACAAAGCAACCAATCTTCTTGCAGGAATCCCAAACTCAGCAGGGAAAAGCAGAAAATAAAATAGACATCTCCTCAGATACAGAGGTAAGCTGTTGATAGCGTTACACGTTTCGAGCCAATGCTTTTGATCTTGATTGAGCTCGCTGGACCACTCCTCAATGGTAGCATCTTTTGTGGAGAGTAAATCTGTGGTTTCCAATATTTCTAATGGAAGCCCTCCACATTTTTTCACAATTTCTTTTCCAACCTTCTCTAGTTCGCGGGGAATGTCCGCGTTCAAATTTCTTCTGAATAGCGTCCAACTATTTTTATCATCCAACAACTGCAGCGGATGAACGAAGGTTCTTGTTCCCGCATGTAGCTCTGCGCTTGCATTGCGACCGGTAAGAACAACTCTGCAAGCTGTTGACATATCCGGAATGGACTTCTTCACTGCATCCAAAACCTGTGAACTTTCAATGCCATCAACAACAAGGAGGTACATAGTACTCGCCAAGGTTCTGAGTACATCTTGTGTGGACCACCCTTGTTCTTCATCTTGATCTCTCATAAACTGCTTGGCTGCTTCTTTGGCAATGTCTTGTAGAAGCACTTCAATTTGTTCATTTGGAGGCATGAACACCTTTATTCGACAATCAAAATGACCCGTGACAGCATCATTGTCAAATATCAACCCTGCTAGTGTTGTCTTACCCGAGCCTTGAATTCCAACGATGGAAATAATGCAGCGACGTTGCTCGTCCGTGAGTAACTGAGCCGTCAAAATTAGTACATCATCATCAAATCCAACTATGCTAGATTGTTTAACGACGAGAGATGGTCGCGTCCTTCTACGCAATATTTGAAGCATGGACGATGACTCAGCTCGGGTCTGAAGCTGCACCAAACCATATGCCTTTCTTCTTCTGGAGACATCTTCAATTTTGTCTCTGATCCCATTTATCTTTCGTATAATGTCACGTCTGGTTAGGTAGTGGAGAATTTGGATGTGAATTGGTTTATGCTCCAATTTGTTAGCATAGTCATTAATGACAGACTCAGTTTCACCGGCAATATCTCTCATTTGCTTCACCCACATCTTGGATCTTCCATCTAGCCGCCCTTCAATCTCTCCTACATCTCCGAACAGTGCGTTCATCAAATCCATTTCCCCTCTGATTGATTGAACCTTCTCTCTGAGTCCCGAAATAGGTTGATACGATACCCGTGGATGCGGAAGTTGCTCAGTACTACCAGAAGACGAGACAGTTCCTTGTCGTCCTTGTATGTCGGCAATACCATAAATTATCTTCCTGTCTGTGACATTAAGAATCTCATTCAACAGGTCGTTTATGTTCTTGGCAAATATGATTCTCCTAAACACCCCACCCCTTCCACGTTCAGCATGGAGGGAACAGGCATTCTGTGCCACCACTCTTAACTGATCCACCCACACTTTCTGCCTTTCGTTCAGCCTCATGCCTTCAATATCAGTGAATAACGCATGCATTAGAGCCAAGTCTCTTTGGGTTGACTTCAAATTCTTGTCCATAGACCTCCACAAAGACACAGTCCACACAATGACCTTATAAAGAAAAGAGAACAATTGCTGAATGACCCCCAGCCAGTTGTAGAAAACTCTGGAGAGGAACAAAAAGGCATATTCAATGAAAGCGGCTAACATCAAGAACATGAACGCTACTAGCATTTTTTTCACATTGCCACGGGGTTTGGGAGCTGGTTTTGCATCGCGTATGAAAGCATCAAGCGTAATTAGAAAGAAGAAGCCCAATATATCGGTCCAGAGAGGAACCACGGGAGAAACAATAATATAGTAAAGAATGAACATGACCCTTGAAATTATTAACCGTACTGGAGACAAATTTGGAACAGGACTTGACCTTAATATTATTTCGTCCCTCATGTCTTTACCACCGACACCGTATGTCATCCTTCTCTGAAGAGCATCTCCGATTTGCGTCCTCACGTACATCATCTGCTTCTTAAATTCCCTTTCCGAGACAAAAGAACAAAGCTTACCCGTTTTACACCATCTTTCTCTGCTGGCATGGGCAATGAAACTATCAGCAACACCTGCGGTATAATCACACACCTCCTTCACCTCTTCCAACCACACCTTCTCTCTTTGACTCGTTGACTCTAAGTTACGCACAATATTTTGCATGCCAACGAGTTCATCTCTCACCCGTTCTGCTACCTTGATGCCCTTACGTCGAGTGATTAAATTATGACTAAGAACGCGAATGAACTTGTGGAGTGCAGGAGTTACTATTGTGGCTGACGTTTCTGCTGGACCTGGGGTTTCAAAGGTGAGATCGAGCCTTGTTTGCCTGTGGTGTTGAGAGATATCTCTCATGATGTCGCTGATCCGCTCCAACTCTTTGCCAACCTTGTATTTGTCGTACCAGTAGAGAAGTCCTCTTCTCCTCCGCTTCACTGATTTGATGACGAAGGTTTCTATGGCATCCTCTGCATCGCGAGCGACGCTCCTCAACTTCTCTGCCCACTCGTCCGAGCTTCCGCTGTCATCGTGGTCAACGTGCTCTAAGAATGCCTGCATTATCCTCAGCTCTCTTTCGATCCATTCAACCTGCCTTGCTGCCCCACTCAACACTGCTGATTCTTGAACGAGGACTTTAGATAGTTTGTCTGCAGCCACGGTTACCATCGAGTTTACGATCAGTTCAGCCATCACCAGTTCTTCTTCTTCCTTTCTGTGCTTCAACTGCTCTTGCTTATTAGTGATTAATTCACCATATATTTGTGGTTCGAAGGAGTCGAGCGAATTTCGTAACTCTGCTCCAATCCAATGAACTAATATTTTAAACTGATTTATTTAGGCATGCTTTTCCCCTACCGAAGGAAGGACATTTAGCTTATTAGGCATTTACTACAGACAAACACATGTCTGTCTTATTACTGTGTTAGGAAATAATTGACCACTGTTAGAAAATAAACCAACAACTCAATATTAACTATCGTTACAAGGTTAAGAAATTCAAGTTGAACACTAAAGTTTCACATGTGAAGATTTATGAAGTTTTTAGAAGATAAGAGATGATTAAATATTGTGGCAATAATTAGTAAGTGTTATTCTAAATTAAATTTTGAATAATTAAGTTTTTTGTCAAACTTAAATTTTTACCATATATGCTTAGCAATTAAGCTATGTAATTTTATGTGTTATTTTAATCATTTAGTTTGACTATATAAAGAGCATAATATGAATTATGTATTGAGTAGTGAAAAATTGAATGAGAGAAATCTTAAATATTTATGAATTTGTGATATCAAATTGGCATCAGCTTAAAAGTTTTTAATGTTTGAATGTCAATTTTTTTTTAAAGAAGAGTGAGTATGTGAGGAATAAGAGGGTTCTCATTTTTTACAAATTTTATAAGAGTCAGTTTATAAGAGAGAGATATGTCAAATTACAATATTATTTGGTCCAGTCCTAAATTAGATGAGAAGAATGATTATAGTTATTGGACACTTTTGATGTTTACCTGTTTAAAAGCTCACAATATTTGGAGCTTTATTGAACCAATATTAAAAGCAAGAGCTAATGCAACAGCTCAAAGAAGGGACCGATTGGCACTATCATAAATTCATCAAGGTGTTGATTATTCATTTTTTGACAAAATAGCTAATGCTAAAACTGTTAAATAATCGTGGAACATTTTAAAGCTGTTATATAAAGGAGTTAAGAAGGCTCAAAAATCTAAATTACAATCTTTACATTGAGAATATGAAAGATATGAGATGTCTAGTTCAAAAACTGTTGTACAATATTTTTCATGCGTCACAGATCTCGTGAACAAAATGAGGATGTATGGAGATGACATCTCAGATAGCAAAGTGGTAGAAAAAAATTCTTTATACCATGCTAATAAAGTTTGATCATGTAGTGACTACAATAATAGTCTTATGATACAGACACGATGACTGTAGCAGGGTTGCAGAGAAGCATAGAGAACCATGTGAGCAGAATATTGGAGAAGTCAGAAAAAGTAAACGAAGAAGCCTTGAAGAGTCAGGTGAATCTCAACAATGATACTAAGTGTAATCAAAATGCTGAAAGTAGAGGTCGTGGTAATTTTAGAGGAAGAAGTCGTGACAATTTCAACCAAGGTAAAGATAACAATTTCATGCCACCAAGTCAAGGAAGAGAAAATAATTTTGGGATAGTTAGCCGAGGAAGAGGAAGAAGGGGCTATTATCAAGAAAGAACAAATTTTAATTGTTATCGTTGTGGAAAGTTTGGCCACAAAGCTGCAGATTGTATATTTTGACAACAAGCAAATATGGCAGAAAATCAGTATCAAAAAACTGGTGAGAATTCTGATAACCCACAAAGTTTATTTTTAGCAACTAATAATTTTGCAGAAGATGGGAATGTCTGATATTTAGATAATGTATTTAGTAATCATATGTGTAGGAAAAAGGAGTTATTTTACTCTCTGCATGAAACAGTCAAATCCATCATGAAATTCAGAAATAATTCAAAAGACCAAGTTGCTATTAGACTAAAAGATGGTTTTCAAAACTTTATCTTAGATGTATTCTATGCTCCTGATCTTCATCATTATCTATTGAACATGAGACAACTGTAAGATAAAAGGTACAATATGCAGATCTACCAAGGCTATTGTAAGTTTATAGACAAAAATATAAGGTTTGTTACTAAGGTACAAATGACATTGAATCGTCTATTCCCTTTGAAAATTCAGCATGAAAAAATTTCTTGTTTGAACTTTGTAATTCCAAATGACAATTGGTTGTGGCACATGGATTTTGGTCATTTCCATTTTTATACCTATTGTAAATGTTCCCAATAGTGCATGTGAGAGTTGCCAATTAGGAAAGAAATACAGAGAATCATTTTCTACAGGAAAGTCTTAGAGAGCAAGAAAGTTGCTTTGTGTACAATCGAGATACCAACATATGGTAGTAAATACTTTATTACTTTCATTGATGATTTTAGTGGGAAAACATGAATATATTTTCTAAAGTAGAAATGAGAAGCTTGTGATGCGTTTAAGTCTTTTAAGGCATTTGTAAAAAAATAAAGTAGTTGCAGAATTAAAGCATTGAGAACAGATAGAGGTCAAAAATACATTGCTTGTGTAAATTTCTTTCAACAACTTGGAAATAACACCAATTGACAACTAGATACATGCCTCAACAAAATGTGTTGCAGAAAGGAAAAATAGAACAATCATGGACATGGTCAGATGTATGTTGAAGGCTAAACAATTACCTACAGAAATTTTGGCAGAAGCAACTGTCACTGCTGTTTATATTTTGAACAGGTGTCTAACAAAGAGTGTTCATAGTAAGATACTTGAAGAAGCTTGGAGTGGAAGGAAGCCCTCAATCTGCTACTTCATAGTTTTTGGGTGTATTGCATATACCCATGTACTCAGAAAGAAATTAGGTGACAAAGGAGAAAAATGTATTTTCATTGGCTATAGCATAAAACTCCAATGCATATAAATTTTTTAATCTAGAGACAAAGAAGGTGATAATTAGCAAAGATGTGACATTTGAAGAAGGAATATGGGACTGGTCCTTAATGTCCCAGAAAGAGTCAGTAATAATTCCCAATGATTATGAAGAAGATAAAGGACAACTAGATCCATCTTCAAATATGCTAGAATCATGTAGCAGCCCACAAAGAAAACGAAGATTACCAGCCAGATTGAAAGATTATGTTGTTGGTGGAGACAATGATCCATTTGATGAAGAGGTTATAAATTTGCTTTGTCAGTAGATTGTGAATCAGTGACATTTGAAAAAGCTACAGAAGATCCAAATTGGAGAAAGGCCATGGATGAGGAAATTTATGCTATTGTGAAGAATAAAACATGGGAGTTGACAAATTTACCTATAAATAAAAGGTCAATAGAAGTGAAGTGGGTTTCTAAAATAAAGTACAAATCCAATGGAGAGATAGATCGATTTAAAGCAAGATTGGTGGCAAAAGAATACAAGCAAAAGCCTAATATTGATTATTTTGAGGTATTCGCTCATGTTGCAAGGTTAGATACTATTCGTATGATTATTTCTCTCTTTGCTCAAAATAATTGGGAAATATACCAAATGGATGTTAAATGAATCCAGATTGTCTCTAGTTTGCGCGGGAATTGGACCTCCAGTTCATTTTTCATTTAAGCGATTTTATAAGAGTTTGATTGGAAGTTTAAGATATTTGACTACAACCAGACCATATATAGTTTTTGGAGTTGGATTACTTATTAGATTTATGGAGGAGCTGTAACACCTTACATTTAATTTCAATAAATAAGGAATTTCACAAATTTTTAAAATAATAAAGTTTCCATTTTCAATTCAAGTTTCATCAACCATTTCAAATAAAGAAAGGGGGTTATAATTTATATCAAACAGTTGCTACATGACTTATTCAAATACAACAGTTTTCAAAATAATATCCTAAGTCCTATAGCAGTTCCATCCACCCCTTCACTGAGTTCGGTGCTGATCGTCTTGGTTACCTGAAAAATGAATGTAAGGGTGAGTGTTCTATGCTACTAAAATACAATCAAACATAGAATCTCACCTCTAGCACATTTTCAATACCTTAAACAAACACAATCACATGCATCATTTTACATCTATAAGTACAAAACACAAATCCATGCATACGCACACCAGCCACACTCACTATAGCACTGTGATCACATATTTACACCATGAATGGTCGCCGGTTATCCCCGCCTCACGGATACTACATGGGCAGTCACGGGTCGCTCAGCAAAGGTAATGGTCAGAGGTCCAGTCAGGAAGAGAGTGTGTGGCCCGTGGTGCTCCCGTTCGGCAGTCAGTGTCACTACCACTCCCTCTTCCCCAAGGTATTTCTACCGTCCTCGTCTTCCACACCCCAAGTGTATCGCTGAACCATTCACGCCATATTACAATGGCGCTAACACGTCCATTCACATTTATTCCATTCACGCATGCAATGATCATGCTTACACACGGCACACAGCCCACAATTATCGTTCATATTACACGGTCCTTAGGCCTACATTTTCACAATATTTATTCACAACACTCGGCAATATGCGCTCATTCTATCACACAACATTTATATACAATCCACATCCATCAATTTCGGGTCAACACACATCATGTTCACATATCATGGCATATGGTCCACATTACATTTCTTCGCAAATTCCTACCTTATAACTTAGCCACAACACAATATTTAGTAAAATAACAACAATTCATGCACAAAAGAGTATGATAGAGTCTCCCTTACCTTGGATTGAAGACCTACACTCGGATTCGACCACAGACGTGCTCCCTACACATATTTTGACCTAAAACACATGGAATAACTTCATGAGAACCCAAGGAAACCCAGAAATAGAAGAAAGGGGATGAGAAACGGAACCCTAACCATTAAAACTCACCTCCAAGCATTTTTCACACGGATTCAACTTTCAATCAAGCTCTCGAACAGCTTTAGAGGCAATTTAATTGGTGGAATAGGGTTGTGAGTGAGAGAATCGATGGGATCTCGAAGGGAGAGGGAGAAATAACTCTCCCCGAACCCTAACCCCCTTTAAATTCTTTTTCTGGTTGTGACACTCTCGCTATAGCGAGATATTTTTGCTGCAACAAAAATATCAGATGAAATTGCATATTAGTTTCTACAGAATCTTACTACATCGAGACCCTCTCACTACAGTAAGACTGCACCCAGAAATGCACCCAAACTGTCGCCCTCTCGCTATAGCGAGACATCTCTCGCTACAACGAGAAGGCGACAGTTCTAGTCCTTCCTCCTAAGGCCCTCTTGCTACAATGAGAATCCTCTCGCTACAGCAAGAACAGCTCAGAATTACATCTTGCACTTAGGCACTTAGCCCATTTCAGCCCAACCAGTCATGCATACACACACACACACACACACACACACACACACATATATATATATATACACACACACACACATATTCACATCATATATCTAAAAACATACATATGAATATACATTTAGATTTATATAAATAACAATAATTAATATTACCAAAGTCGAGGCGTTACAGGAGCCATGTAATTTTCATTTGCAAGGAGCAAAGAGAATTTTACGATATATCAAAGATACTATATCTTATGAAATTTTTTATGCCAATAATAGTGATGTAAAACTTGTTGGGTATACAGACAATGATTGGGCAAGAGATATGGAGACAAGAAAGAGCACGCAGGAAACACATTTCATCTTGGTAATGGCTTATTATCATAGTTTTCAAAGAAACAACCAGTAGTTGCACTCTCTACAGTTGAAGCAGAATGCATAGCAGCAGCTAGTTATGCTACATAGTCAATATGGTTAAGAAGAATTCTTGAAGTGATGCATGAAAAGCAGAATAATCCTACAGAATTTTTTTGTGATAGCAAGTCTACAATTGCAATGTGTAAAATCTAGTTTTTCATAGGCGATCCAAACATATTGATATTCGGTTTCACAAGATTCGAGAGCTAGTAGTTGAAAAAGAAATGGTGATTAAGTATTGTCCAATTGAAGATCAAATTACAGATATTTTCACGAAATCTTTGAAGGCTGAACTATTTTACAAGTTGAAGAAATTGCTTGGAATGATCAATTATATAAACTTGGTTTAAGGGAGAATATGTTAAAAAATAAACTAAACTTAGTTTATGACAACTCAATATTACCTATCAAATAATTACAAGGTTAAAAATTTAAGTTGAATACTAAAGCTTGACATGTGAAGATTTATGAAGTTTTTAGAAAATAAGAGATAGTCAAATATTATGACACTAATTAACAAGTGTTTAATTTCAAATTGAATTTTAAATAGCCAAGTTTCATTTCAAACTTAAATTTTTACTATGTATACTTAGTAATTAAGTTATATAATTTTATGTATTATTTTAATTATTTAGTTTGGCTATATAACGACTGTAGCATGAATTATATATTGAATAATAAAAAATTAAATAAATAAAATCTTAAGTATATGTGAATTTGTGATATCAACTTATGTAAGAGACTAATATTATCTTAAGAGATTCGTTTATGAATTTATTCTTTAATAATCATATGGCTACCAACATCAGAAAACTCTAAAGTTAATTGAGCCAAATTATAATACAACGAATTCAAAGGCATATAAATAAGATTTAAATTTTTACTCGTGTCGATTTGTAACACAGTAGCATTAAGCTTAGTCAAAGCAAATTGCTTATTAGTACAAAACTATACTGATTAGGTGGCTGGCAATTTCTGTGTTTTTTTTTTTTTCAATTTATTTATTTACAAAACTAGTGAATGAAGGACATTTAGATTATCAGTCGTTGTAAACAAAAACTCCAAAGAACAAATTTTGCTTACATTTTGGTTTAAACAATCCATTTTCCCTTGACTTGACGTCCTGTTACGGTCTTAAAGGGTAGAGGATGAAGCACAACTCCTTTCGTTACTATGTCATGCCATCATGTTTTTGTCCTTGCTCAAGGACACTGAGTCCAGCTGCTATTAAGTCAGCAATTATAACTACCACTAAAGTACATTATTTTTTACACTTCACGCACCTATGAATTTTGGCTTTTAATTTTATGCGGTGACTTTATTTTTTAAAATAAATATTGTTATCATAATTACGAAATTTAAAAAATCGTAATACGTATTAAAATTATATATTTTAATGAAAATTTATTTTTAAAAATTAAAAATAATGATACGGAACAGTAGCAGTGAAAGAAGACACACCTGTAAGTTTAAATACAAGAAGTCGAGTAGGTAATTGGTTACCGACACAAATGTTTTCCGAGAATATTTATTTTTCTTCTGGAGAGATGGATTTGTTACCGACACAGTCCCACGTGATCATATTTACACCTTTTACTGTTCATTTATTGGTCAATCTGTGGTCTTCATCCAATAAAAATTTGGCATTTACTTTAACCCAATGAATTCCGCCTTTATTTTATAGGTGACACTTTGAGATGGAATTTGCAAGGAAAGAAGGTACCTAATATTTCTCATTTTAACTTTGTTTTGTTTAGTTGGAGGAATATCCCTGCATTTTTCATTCCATGAGGCAACTTCTTTTTGATTGCCTTGTAGTTTCATATTATAACTAAAGCCAAACTGGTCGAGACATTGATTTGCAGCTTGAACCACAATTACGATCAAGCAGAAGCACCAAGATTATGTTACTCGCGGGTAAGACTAATAATGTTTGTTTCATCAATCAAAATTACCTAGTCCTTTCTATGCATTGCAAACTAATCGTGATTGCGTTTGTTTTCAGTGGTGTGCAGTTTGATATATTCAAGAGAAATCAAGTCAAATGATATAATTCCGGCTCTGGCAAAAGTTTGGAACGTATTGGAACTGCGGATTCTGGTGTTAATTAGTCTCTCCTTGCAAATAGTCCTAATCGTTTTTGGCAACAGAAGGAAGCACATAGCCAACAAATGGCTACAACCCATGGTGTGGTTCACCTATCTGTCAGCAGATTGGGTTGCTACGGTTGCTCTGGGCATTCTTTCCAAAGACAGCAAAAATCCAAAATTAGACCCCAACTTCATAATTATGGCGAGTTGGGCACCCTTCCTTCTTGTGCACCTTGGTGGTCCTGACACAATCACTGCTTACTCTCTTGAGGATAATGAACTATGGCTGAGACACATGCTTGAGTTATTCTATCAGCTAGCAGTGGCAATTTATGTGGTTTATAGCTCATGGAATGGTAGCCACCTTAATTATGTTACCATTCCAGTTGTTGTCGCAGGAATAATCAAATATGGGGAAAGGACTTGGTCACTGAGTTATGGTAGCAGCCAAAAATTCAGAGAATCTATTCTCCCTCCTCCAGACCCAGGACCAAATTATGCAAAACTCATGGATGATTACACTGCCAAAAAAGCTGAGGGATACAAAGTTTCCTTCGGGGAAGTGATTGAAACTACTCCCATAGTATTGGGTCATTCTCAAGGGGCAATAACCAATGACCCTATTCCTGATGCTTCCTCTTTGCATGATGGATTCTATTTCTTCAAAATTTTCAAGTGTTTGTTTGCAGATCTCATCCTTAGTTTTCAAGACCACAAAAGCAGCCAAGGTTTCTTTCAGAACAAAACATGGGATTATGCTTTTAAGGTAATTGAGGTTGAGCTTGGATTGATGTATGATATGCTATATACAAAGGCAGTGCTAACATATTCCCACCTTGGCATTTTCCTCAAATTTGTGAGCTTTTCCTGTACACTCTCTGCATTTATTACCTTTTTTTTTGTGATAGATAAAGGACCCGTAGATTATGACCGGATCATTACTTTTGTGCTTTTCGCTGGAGCTATTTTTCTTGAGATATACGCGGTCATTGTTTTACTTTCTTCAAGTTGGGTAATGCTTTGGTTGAGCAAGCATAAGAATTGGAGAGTTAATATTCTCTACAGAATCATTTCAAGATTTCAAAAGTGTTTTAAACTCTCACATACTAAGAGGTGGTCTAATCTCATGTCACAATTCAATCTCATTAGGTTTTGCTTAAAAGATGAGCCAGTCAAATGCATCAAAATCCAGAAATTTCTTCACATCTATCAATTCTTCGAGAAGTCTTATTACCAACGAAAAAAGTTTGTCCCTGAGGACTTGAAAGAACTCATTTTTGAACAGCTTAAGGAGAAATCTAGGGGTGCATTGCATATTGAAACATGTAAAAAATTATGCGCTCACAGGGGTGATCAAGTTCTTAACAAATGGAACTGCCACACTCTTGATTGGAGCGCTGAGGTGGAGTTTGATCAAAGCATTTTGCTTTGGCATATTGCCACAGATCTTTGCTATTATTCAGATATAACTGATAACCGCAGTTGTAAGTACCTCCAAAGTTGTATAACTAGCAGATTGTTGTCAAATTATATGTTATATCTTCTTGTTATTTGTCCTTTTATGTTGCCCAATGGAATAGGACAGATCAGATTTGAAGACACCTGTGCGGAGGCTGGTGAACTTTTGCAAGAAAGAAAGTACATATCAAAAAGTAAAAAAGCTTGTAAGATGATACTTGGAGTGAAAACAGATATTCCACCATCAAAATTGAAAGGGGATAGAAGCAAGTCTGTGCTGTTTGATGCATGTAGGCTTGCCAAATGCATAGATTCTTTAGAAAAGGAGAAGAAATGGTCGAAAGAAGATAAATGGGAAATGATGAGTAAAGTTTGGGTGGAGATGCTGTGTCATGCAGCATGCCATTGTAGAGGATTTCAACATGCTAAGCAACTAAGCCAAGGTGGGGAGTTGCTGACCCATGTTTGGCTTTTAATGGCTCATTTAGGTATAACTGAACAGTTTCAGATTTCACAAGGTCATGTAAGGGCAAAGTTGGTGATCAGCTAAAAATGTATGGTGTGTAGTTGAAGTCTTTGGATTTCTTAAGCCTTTCCTCTTGCTCAAACAATTCTTATTTGCAGTATCAGTGTGTGATAGAACATAGGAATGTACCATCCCCTTTTGTGTTTTTAGTACTCTGCTTCCTTTATGGAAGAATAAGGCTACCTTCCCACTTTTCGTTTTGCTGATCCAAATCATGATATTTGTTTTGGTCACTCTATTATGCCTACTCGTCCCATCTAGCTTGTATTTTCTTCTAAAGAACTATTTTGAAGTTATAAAATTAAATTAAATTAAAAATACAAATATTTTAAAAGTTTAAAATAATTTATAAAAATCATAAACTAATTTTTGTAAGTTCAAATATATTTATTATAAGTTCTTCTAAATATCTTCATACTCCGTTGCTATAAATAATGTAGAATCTGTACATAAAGTTGAGAGTAGTAATTTTTATTTGAAATTTCAATACATGAATTGCATTCTTTTAAGGTGAAATTAGCAAATAACGTGCAGGGGTGTATAACTTACAATTTAGTCATAATTTAATATTATATTAGCCTTTATTACTATACTTTTTTCTTTCAAACAAAAATCAACTAATGATATAAACACTGTAAATTTATGTTAACAGGAGTATATAATATTATACTAATAAGTGATTTTGTTAATATAGAATATTAATTTACATTATTGATATATCAAGTGTTAATATAATATATTATTTATAGACTTTTAAAATTCATACTAATAATTTATTTTTATTAAACAAATATTATACCAATAAGTCTATTCTAATATTTGTAAATTATTTTTAGTCATTAAAATTTTATAACTTCGTGATTTATTACACACACATATATGTATATAATTTTAATTTTTATTTTAATTAATAATTATAAATCTATACTTATGTTTTAAAATATATTTAAATAATATTTTTATTTATTTTTAATTATAATAGTTACTCAATATTATACTTTAAAACTTCTTAATTTTTTAAGTTATCACAACATTTATCAATTATAATTATTTTATTTTAAGTGCTATTAATTATTTCTTACTTTATAAGTATTTTTACATAGAAAAGTAAGGTAGTGTAAAGGCTTTATTTTTCTTGAAATTAAAGAAAATTTTTTAATCTATATTTTAATATTTTAATCATATAAATTAATTATCTAATCATTAATTATATTAATTACTATGTTACCAATATTATATTTTAATATTTTTAAAAAATTGAAGTTCAATTATAATAATTTTATTTTTATAAATAAAAGTAGTAGTCGTAATAATAATAATAATTTATTAATTTAATTGACACTTTTTTTATATGTTAAGAATTACCTAAGTACTGAGTTTGCCTCGTGGTTTTAACACAGATAACCATAATGACGTAACAGTGTATGTTGATATGACTGCACCACACGTGTATACAACTTCTCAGATCCAAATCTCCGAGTATATACTACGCATCAAAAAATGTGTTTTTTCCAAGTAACAATGCTTTTCTTTTATAAACTTTTCCATTCATAATCATAATCATATCCTCGGAACATTACATTGAAAAAGCTCTTCAACTTTTCCTGAATGATCACTGATTCATGCCCACAAAAATTAATAAAGAAAATGGAATGCAATGAATGAGGAAAAAGAATGGTTGTGTTAGCATCATCCTCTTCTCTTTCTCTACCTTCACCTTTCACCCTTCTTCCTTCTTCCTTTCCTTGCCCTTCCTCACACGTTACCTTACAGTCTTCTACTTTCCAAACAAACCCAATTCGATTCCACACCCCACCAGTCATTTGCTGCTCCCTTTCTTCTTCTTCTTTGGAACAATCTGATTCATTTTCTCAGGTTCTTTTCTCCACAGACCCTTCTTCTTTAGATTGCTTCATTCAAGTTCATTTTTTTGGAATTGCTAACTGTTGGTTGGTTTTAAACGTGATGAGATGACACAGATGCACGATAGCTTGTTGTACTCAAAAGCCTATTGGGTTAGTGAATCTGTTATTGCTTGGAACATTGATGTTACCAACGGATTTTGCTACCTTCTTGCTAGCAAAAATGCTTCTTTGAGCACTGCAAATTGCAAGATTCAAGGTTTCAATCTCCAACAATTCCTTCTACACTAGTTCTTGGATTACTTGTTTACAAATAATTTTAAGCGGACATTGACTCTTTGAATTGCTAAATGACAATTAACAGGTGAGGATTTGAAAATTCAGCTTCAAGAGGACAGGGATGGCCTTCCTGCAAACGTAATTTACCCTTTTAGTCTAACTGACGTCTTTAAGATTTTTTATAAACATCAAGCACTGCTAAGTAGTGCTGATTCCTTCCTTTATGGTTCTATTATTTTTTACAATGCGGTGGCTTTAACATACAGTGGACTGGAATGAGGACTATTTACTTACTACTGCTAACCTTGCATTTTCAGGTGGTGGAGAAATTTCCACACATTCGAGGTTATAGAGCTTTCAAATTGCCACCTGCTTTGGATGTTAAACCTCTTCTTAAATCCCAGTTAGCGGTTGTTATTTGCGACTGTAAGTCCTCTTCTTTTTGCAATATATATAAGGCAGGATGTTCTTACACTAGTGTAAGCTCTTACACCAAATCTTACATTTAACGGGTTATATATATATATAGGTTATGTAAACACGTGTTTTCACCTGGCTTCTTTATTAGCTTAGCATAGTTTGTTTCTCGTGTATGCTGTACTGCATTAGATTGTAAAGTAAATGCTCTTTGCAGCATGTGCTTTGCAGTATATCTAATTGTAATTTAAGTTCGTATTGCAGAAGAAAAAGTTATGTTGCAGTCACTGGTAGACACTAATAGTATTTCCTTTCTTCATTTTGCACAGTTGACGAGAAGTGCAGGAATTGTACTGATTTGCAGTTACCTGGTGTTTTAGATGAGCTTTTCTCATATAGTGGTCCCCTTGGTGCACTTTTCTCTGAGGAAGCTGTGTCACTTTACCTGTGGGCGCCAACTGCTCAAGTATATTATCTTTCATTGAAAGAAAAAACTTATTTTTTGTGCTCTCTTTAGCCTTATCTGCATATTAATATATATCTTTGCACATATCTTTTTGGTTAATATAGGCAGTACGTGCTTACATCTATAAGGACCCAGTGGGAGATGATCCCATAGAAATTGTTCACCTTGAGGAGGAAAATGGCGTTTGGAGAACTATTGGACCGGCAACTTGGGAGGGTTGTTACTATGTTTATGAAGTATGTGTTTACCACCCTAGCACTTTGCGGGTTGAAAAATGCTATGCAAATGATCCATATGCTAGAGGGTATGCTCTGTTCATGTCAGTTTGCCATCAATTATCTTTTGCAAATTGTTTCTATTCTCTAGATTCTAGAATTTTCACAAGTAATTGAGTATCATTTAGTGATACATTTCAAGTGATTACATATAAAATTTAATTTCCCTAATGATTTGCTGATTTTGAACCCTTTTTTTTCTGTATTTAAGCAGACTTTCATCAGATAGCAGGCGGACATTTCTACTTAATCTTGATTCTGATGAGTTAAAACCTGATGGATGGGCTAATCTGGAAAATGAGAAACCTATTTTACATTCTTTCTCTGATATAAGCATATATGAAATGCACATAAGGGATTTCAGGTAACTATTTAACGATGTCTTTGAATTTATTCAAAGATCAATTTGTCTTTTATTTCCGAAAGCTTACAATAAGGGAACTTTTATGAAATCCAGAAAAGATCTAAGTGAGCTTTCAGAAATATGTGTATGCCTCAAGCCCTCAAATTAAAATTAGAATAATGGTTTGTATTTCTTATTTGTGAAATTACAATTTTCAGTGTTCTCTCCTTATGTTGCAAAAATCCCTTGGCAACTTTTAATTCTGCTTTTGAGAGTAAATGCCCAAAAATTTATCCTGGAGTACTCCTACATGCTGAAATGGGTGCTCGTGATTTAGTGGTTTGTTTCTGTAGAAAAAGAAGAAAATAATGAGAGGATAGAGGGATAGAAAAACAAGGGCAAATTAAATAACTTAGGTTGCCTATTTGCTCTCTTTCTTATAAAAATAATTATGTTCATATTTGTTGTTTTCTCTTGAATTTTAATAATTTTCAGTTCTGATTTCTTCTAATAGGTTTAGGCTTGAATTCCCAAGTATATTGCTAGTTGTTGCTGCATATTAATCTATTTCCATAATCTTTAAAGTAGCTAATTATTGTGCTTATTTTTAGAAGTACCACTTAGTTGTGCCTCTTGCTTTGAGTTTTTATATAATTTTCTTCCTCATTCTAAATTCTGTTACATTTTGCTTGTTTCCACATAGTGCCAGCAACGTCTCTGTGCAACCTGATTTTCGTGGTGGATATCTAGCCTTTACGTTGCCGGTAATTCTAAGTTCAAGCTATTGATGGAGTTCAATAAGAATAAAAGTGTCCATCTTCTATAATAGTAATGGAAATATGGAATAATACTTTTTCTTCCAATTTTTCACTTGTTTTGCCATGTTAATTTTCTTCTTATTTGACTAAATTATAGTTGTGATTCAATCTTTTGAAAGTTATAGAAATCATCAAATGAGAAAATTACGAGCACAAATGCCATGTCATAAATTCACTTCAGCAAGATGCTTGCATGAAGAAAACCTAAGATATATTGAATTCATAAGATTACCTAATCTGAATTCTATTAGTTCAATTATGTGAACACTCACTTGATCATGCTGAAAGATGGACTAGCTTTGTGAAGATATATTCCTTTTTTCATATAAGCCTACTGTGATTGGACCATCTGCTACTGCACCTGCAATTTGTCACACTACTTTTTTCCCTTTTGGACATATATCATTACTGCTGATATTTGTGTGTTTAATTCTCATGTTCTTTCTTGCTGTAAATAGACATAGGAAACTTGCTGTAAATAGGTTTTATCAAATCCTATAATTAAGGTGTTTGGTTTATGTATTTTGTAAATAAAAATCAAACAGCTGACAGGATTAGTCTCAAGGTTTTCACAAAATTCGGTCTAATTTGATACCATAGTTTGTGATCTTGGGCTTAAAAAACAGCAGTCACGTCATTTCAGCTACCACCGTCAAGGCTGGGTAATTGGTTTCCACACCCTCACTTGAGCTATTTCACTTGCTCAAGTTTAATCAATTATTTGTTATTCATTCTCAAATTCATGTAAATGCCATTCACAAAACGAAGGTTGGTCATTTTAGCTGATGCAACTAAAGAACTATTTAGTCCAAAACAGAATGATATATTGAAAGCAAGATTGATATGTGACTAAAATAATAAGTGCATTATTAACTGCTATGATGGAATTTGAATTAACAAGGAGCATATGTTTGAAGGATTCAGCAGGTGTACTTCATCTAAAGAAATTAGTAAGTGCTGGTATCACCCATATCCATCTATTGCCAACATTTCAGTTTGCCGAGGTTGATGATCAAAAGGAGAACTGGAGATTTGTTGGTAAGGTTTATGGCAGATTATCCTATGAATAAACCCTTTTTTCACAGTTAAACCCCCTCCCATCCCGTGCATTAAGTCATGGAACTTCTACTTCTTGAATCGATAATATGGGGCTTTCATCCTTATAACATTTTAACAATAAAAAAAATTATATACTTTTAATTTTAGTGGCAATATAAATGAAAAATATTAAAAGGAATCTCACATAATATCTAGTGTCAGAGGTTAAGCTATGCTTTTAACCCTCTTGGGTTTCCTTAATTGGGGCAACTTTGTCTTCATTTACATATACATACATAACATACCCTTATACATTTTTTTTTGTTTGCTAAATATCCATGTCTGTGTGTATTTGTGTAAATATGTGACAGTGTGAGTCTGTCTGTCTTCTTATATATCACTTATTATGTATGACCTACATCTCTTTTTCTTTTTGTTACTTGTGGAAACTTTATGGACGTTCTTTTTATTTTGAAGCTTATAACTAAGCTATGTGGCAAAATATCTGATGATTATATTCTTTTGATTTATCTTATGATTGTTATCTGACACAAGCACCCTGATAGATACCTCAATACTGGAAAGTTTGCCACCTGATTCAGATCACCAACAAGCTCTCATCATGGCCATCCAAGACATTGATGGATATAACTGGGGGTAAGCTCCTAAATGCCAAATTGATTGACAATTCCAACATTTTTTTATGGTGGAGTTTGCTTATTTATGTTTTACCTTAAACAGGTACAACCCTGTTCTTTGGGGTGTTCCTAAAGGCAGTTATGCAAGTAATCCAAATGGTCCAAACCGTACAATTGAGTTCCGCAAGATGGTTAAGGTCATCCATAGATCTAATCTTCTATTTAATTTTGTAATGTGGATCAGTAATTATATTGTCTATATAGTCAGTTAAATCAATTTTTTGTTGTTCTGTCTCTTGGAATTTATATACATTGCAGGCTCTTAACCATATTGGCCTCCGTGTTGTGTTGGATGTTGTCTACAATCATTTGCAAGGAAAAGGGCCCTTTGATGAACACTCTGTCCTTGATAAGGTCATGCATTATCATGAAGTTTTCTTTGTTGGACCTGTAATTGTTTAGATATGAATATGCCTAGCTGTGCTGTTGAATATTTCTTTACTATTTTGTAAAGCCTACTGTTTTTGTGGTGTGACACAATGTATCTTATAGATTGTTCCCGGTTACTATCTAAGAAGGAATACTGATGGTTTCATTGAGAACAGTACTTGTATGAACAATACTGCTAGTGAGCACTTTATGGTCGAGCGTTTGATCATTGATGACCTTGTACACTGGGCAGTCAATTACAAGGTTATTGTTTACATCATTCATCGTTGTTCATTTATTACCTTTAAGATTTTTATGAATTGGAAGCATTTTCTATTTATTGGATGCACCCAGTGAATTCCTGATGGTACATACTGTTGTTCTTTGTTATATAGGTTATCTAGTTTTGAAGGATTTATTTCTTATTCTCCCCGTAATTGAACTTTCCATTTTTCAATCAAAAGAAACAAAAATGTATAATGGAGTTCCATAAATTGTCATTCATGGACTATAAGATACTTTTTTATTTTTCAGATTGATGGATTCAGATTTGATCTTATGGGTCATATAATGAAGAGCACAATGGTATGTAATTCACTCTGTTGATTGTGGAAGCCCATAAAAATTGCTTGGTGACTGTGGCTTGAATTTTGGATATAATTTCAAAATGCTGCAATAAGAATTGAATGATAAATTGTAGGGACTAGGGGACTAGGGATGACAAACTAAATTTAACTTCAATAATGTCAAGTTATCATGATTTTGGATTATGTGTTGTATCCAAATAAAAAGCTAATAAAAGATGAATCTGACATCATATATGTTAGATACCCAAAACAGAATAACACTGAATAAGACTTTTATTAACGCTTTCTAAAGAATACAACAAGAACAGCTGAAATACAATGGCAATCTCAGGATAATTCGAGAGTCCTGTCTCTCCCTCCCTCGTAATGAATTTCTTATTCTTCCCTTCCTCACTAAACACTCTCACCCACCCTTTATAGGGTTCTAGATTACAATAGCCTGACATGGTTATATCTGTTTACAATTATAACTAACTTCTATTTCCGGTTTTAGCTTTCCTTTGATAGACCTTCTTTATTATGGGGCGTGGTTTATGCCTATCAATATATCACTAATACACACATTTTGACCTCATGATGTGGATACAGGTGAAAGCAAAAGATGCCCTCCATGGTTTAGCTAAAGCAAAAGATGGAGTTGATGGTTCAAGCATCTACATGTACTTGTTCCTCAATGTTGGTTTTATAATTAGATACATTGGTGTATTTCTTTGTTATCTTCATCCCTCTTCTTTTTACTTAGTTGTTTGTTATTGTTGCCTCATATTCTTTAGTTTTTTCCTTTCCCTTTCAATTGTAAAAAAAAAAAAAAAAAAAAAAAAAAAGATATGGTGAAGGATGGGACTTCGGTGAAGTTGCCAAAAATGGACGTGGGATAAATGCTTCTCAGTTCAATCTCCCAGGAACACAAATTGGGAGGTAGGATTTGTCTATTCTCATTAAGTGTTGTTTAATAATTTTCTATTTTATTATAATGCTAAAGATACAACTTCTGAGTGGAATACCTTTTTTTTAACTGCAAAGCAAGTTAATTGAAGCATGCAAAGGAATTGGTCACCATTGCATAAAATTAAGGTTTTTAAATCCAAAATACTCTGCATAAAATACTTTTTGCTGTTTAGTCATGTTTAAATGTAATATTCAGCTTTAATGATCGAATTCGAGATGCTGTACTTGGTGGATCTCCATTTGGCCACCCTCTTCAACAGGGTTTTGTGACTGGTCTCCTTTTGCAGGTATCTTCTTTCTTTGTTTTATCACTTGTTTTTCACTTTATAAGCATTACTTTAGTGGTAATAATATCTTTCTTCCTTTATTTTTCCTTCCTAGTTTTTCTAGTGTTGATTAAACTCATTGCCATGAAGGCTATACACAAATCTGTGATTTGGAATGCTTATGGTTGATACTTGATAATTTATATCATCTGTTCAACATTAAAAAATAATTACTTTCATAAACATAAAATGCTATCTTTATGAAAGTCACTATATTAAAATTGAAACTTTGTATGTTGCCTTCTAAGTTGAATCAAACCTAGGGCAAGGTAACGAGTGTGGTGCTAGACATTATGTTTTACTTTTCCTTAAGCTTCTTAGAAATCTAAATATTAAATGTGTGTTTGTATTAGCCATGAAAAGATTATTTCAACAATTGTTTATATTCGTAATCAATTATTGATATAATAAATTATATCAGACAAGTTTTATGTTTCGATATGTTTGATGAGAAGTAATTTTAAGATAATCTATTTCATTTGGATTGTCTAAAAAATCACTTTTATTGATAATTACAAAAAACGAGATGAAGTTATTGGTATTAGTTGGTTTTAAATTTGAAGTTTTTGACTATTAGGAATGAAATGGAAAAAGAAAAGTTAGCTAAAAATGATATGATAGTTTTTAATCATAATCTCCAAAATTTTTCTACTGTTGAATTTATTTTTTTTATCTTTTTACTAATTCACCAAACATACCCGATTTTTTGAAACAACATTTATTCTTGCAAATAGAAGCTTTCATTTCTTAAAAAGAATCTTTACCACACACACCATAAAATTAAATGTCCACAAACGAATTGTCATGTTTTCAATTTCTACATCTTTTTTTTTCGAAGTTTAAGATCTGACTTTCCTGCTATTTCTCATCCTTTTATCGGTTCATGATAATTAGATTTGGCTTATTTAGCTGAATTCTAATGTGATTCTTTGTTACAAATTAACATCTGGAGAAAAATGCATGGAAATTCTGTTTAATACTTTCTCACAATTTTATTCAAAAACTTCTGAGTGTTGGAATTCATCCTCTGTATGCAGCCTAATGGCCATGACCATGGAACAGAAGCTAATGAGAAATCCATGCTTACTGCATCAATGGATCATATCCAGGTTTTGGCTTTATGGAACATGCTGTTGGAATTATTGAATATAGAAGTGCCTGCTGAAAATTTTGATAGGAATTTCTCCAGTTTCACTACATGTAAATTTGGTGTTTTCAGTTTGATAAACATATATCCTTTTTTTCAGCTTTTGAATAGTTGTATCATTTAAGCCAATAGTTAGCATTATGATCAGGGAAGATGGTTAGGAAAAGCTTTGAACACAATTTTGATGTATGGCATAATTTTTTATATTATATAAGATAGTATTATTGACTGCTAGACTGCTAGTGTTTTGTTTTATTCTTTTGTCATATGGAGATCATTTGAATATTATACCATATGATTTTTTTAGCATATTCTGTCATTTTTTTACTAGATTGGAATGGCTGCAAACTTGCAAGATTTTGTGTTAACCAATTCTGAAGGAGAGGAGGTATTAATAACTTGGTCCATTTGCTTTGTCTACCAAAGTTAAACTCGTGCTTTCTGCATACTGTTTGAACAGATATCACTGTTGTTCTATTTTCTTATTTCTAATTGGTTCACTAATTTAGTTTTAACGTTTAAAATGCACAAGGAATTGTGAAATAATGTTGGAATTCTCAATTAATTCCTATTTTGTTGTTTGGATGTATGATTTAGTGTTTTCTTTTTAAGAAATTAAAAGGTGTCAGTGTTTAAAAATTAAATGTCCAACTGTCCACTGTTTAATGCTTCAATTACTTGGAATTGTCATAAGCAGCTAAAATTCTAATTCTGAAAATCATACCAAAGTAATTGGACCAATTCTAGGATGGAATTGGTTCCAATTCCGGGGGTACTATTAACTTATTATACATGATATGATTAATAAAAATATGGAGATTGTGAGTATCTTACATATATTGGGAATACTGATACTGCTTCCAGATTTGACTGGTTTTTGTTCTGGCTATATGTAACACATTTGTGATTTGTGACATGCGCAAAAATGAAAATGGATGAATCTTTTTTCAATTGGATGCCGTTGTCAAACTTCAAAAGATTTATACAAGTTAGAATGAGAATTCTTTGTATGAGAAATATTGTCTAATAACTTGATTTTGATGGTCTCAGGTGAAAGGGTCAGAAATATTGACCCACGATGGCACACCTGTTGCATATGCCTCATGCCCCACAGAGACTGTAAGCTTTTTCACTTATATATTCCTTGACTGTTCTGCTTCCTATGAATGTACTCTGTAATCATTTTCAACAATGTGAAGGAGACAGAGGATAAAAGTACTTTGAGCCAGAGATCTAATTGACATCTTTAGTTGTTTTGTAGATCAATTATGTTTCTGCTCATGACAATGAAACCCTATTTGACATAGTTAGCTTAAAGGTATTGTAAATATTCTCAACATCCTGTTTTGGTCATGCAATTTTTTGAATGGTATCTGATACAATTCTATTCCTTACAGACTCCAATGGATATCTCTGTAGCTGAGAGATGTAGGATAAACCATTTGGCTACCAGTATTATAGCATTATCACAGGTTAAAGAAGTTAAATGGTTTTATTCAACATTAAAATTAAAAACTTGAGATTTTATATCTCTATTATTTTTGTTGATTATTTATATTCTTGTCTTGGAGGCTTCATTAAGTACATAAATAGGTAGGGTAGCATAAAAAAATATATGATATGAAGTTAGTAAACTTGGACAGATATGAGCAATTTACTCTGGCAAAAATGCTATTCTTTATATAATTAAACCTGAGGAAGTAGTGGCTGGGGTGATATCATTAGCAGTGTTGCTGATAACTCCTGATGCTTTACTCATCATTGTTTTAAGAGAATAGCTGTTATTCATGTGCAGAGATATTATAAATCTTTAGTACATTTTTCAGCCTTGTGTTTTTTTGTTTTTTTTTTTCATCTCTTTCTTTTTTTCGGTTGTTGTCCTGGAGGATATCTAACCCCTTCTCAGTGTGCATGCTTCTTTTCTCTCTAATAAATTTTACTTATTTTATCCAAAAAATGAAGATGCTGAGGTTAAAAGGAGAAGATTTTTGGTGCTAACTTTGTATGAGAGGCAGAGGTAACATAAATTAACTACTTCAATCCTCTTCCTCCACTGATTAGAGCATGATGTTATCTCTCTAAATAAGTGCCTCTGTGATGTCATGGCAATTTGAACTTTTGTGGACAAGTCTCTTGACTTACAAAAGAGTCCACAATTATTGGAGGCATCTTTTATTTCTACAACTGAAACTAAAATTTCATTCCTGAAGTAAGCATGAAAATTGTGAAGTCTATTCTGGTAATTAGAGCTTTTATTCTTAGGGTATTCCATTTTTCCACTCTGGAGATGAGTTACTCCGCTCAAAATCACTGGATCGAGATTCATACAATTCTGGTGATTGGTTCAACAGGTATTTTTCCACATTCAACCTCTGCTATAATAATAATTGACTTTGCCAAAATTAGTATATCATATACTCCATTATAATGTTCTAATATTCATAGTTGTTAAAACAGTCTGGTTTATTTTCCATGGATTTAGTGCCACTTATAATGTGTTTCCTTCTGCAAATAACTTTGCTTTTACTCTCCCATTTTCAGGCTAGACTTTACGTACAATCATAATAATTGGGGTGTTGGACTTCCTCCTCAGGAAAAAAATGAAAAGAACTGGCCACTGTAAGCATTTAAATATTTCATCATCATCATCATTTGTAAAATATGTTATTAATGTCATTGGGTTATTGAAATTGTGATGTGCAGCTAACCTATTGTTAGTTTAGACCTTATATTCAATGATCTCGAATCTCCTTTGATTTCTCAGAATCAAACCAAGACTGGCAGACCCATCCTTCAAGCCTCAAAAAATTGACATCCTTACTGCAGTGGACAATTTCTTAAACCTGTTGCGTATAAGGTACTCTTCACCACTTTTCCGCTTGAAGACAGCAAATGATATCCAGGTAAGATATTTTGAATTTCGCAGTCATGTAAAATTATTTCATCAATTGGTGCTGGATTCTTAAGTGCTTAACCGGCAAAGAAATATTCTTTATTAGCAACTAATTTTTTCATCATAGATTGATAATAAATCTTCTCATTCGGCTAAAACATCATTATTTTCATTTTTGTTTCTAATTATTTATTAGTTTAAATATATTTTTAATTCCTGAAAATATCCCTTTTTTACTGTAGTCCCTATAAAAAAATTATTAGTTTTTAATTCCTAAAGATTACGAAATCATGTTTTTAGTCTCAATGTTCTGGGATCCTACAGGTACGTGATTAAACAGCTTGAGCAAACGTGCATAAAACATTAATGTTTCAAGACCTGAGATTTTTGATATACAAGACCTAAGATTATATGTTATATCTTCAGCAACGAGTACGCTTTCACAATACTGGACCATCATGGGTTTTGGGAGTCATAGTGATGAGCATTGAAGATGGTCATGAAGGCATTCCTGGGTTGTCTCAGCTGGATCCCATGTATGATAAAGCACATAGCAATTTTTTTGTTGATGACTTTGAACATCCTTAAGTTATGTTGACAATGGTGTTGGCAGATATTCGTTCATTGTTGTTGTTGTCAACGCGAGTCCAAAAGAAGTATCATTTGTTAGCCCTGCCCTGCAATCAAGAACTCTTCAATTACATCCCATACAGGTGCTAATAACTCTTAAGAATTTAAATGATGAAAATTGTAATATTTTCAGGCTATGTTTCGGAAAGATTATATTTTGATGTACTATTCCAGTTTGGTGAATGAGTCAACTTCACTGTTAGAGAAATTCTTGAATAGACTTTCAGTTTTGGTAGAAATTTCAAGTTGCCTTTCTTTAAGTTCGTAATCTATTTAGATTAATATGATAACGTTCAGTTTTACCTTGAGTGACTGTGTTGCTGCATAAGGTTGTATGAATTGTGAGATAGCATTGTTATAATTGTAATGTTATTTTTCCTGTGGATTCAACAATCAACAGAACACATTAGTTAGTTTTCAACATGATTCTCTGGTTTGCTGTGGTACATTTATTCATTTATAATTTCAAAAGTGGTGATCTATTCCATTTTCTGTATTGGGTTGTAGGTATTGTCTTCTGATCAACTTGTTAAGAGCTCAACATACGAGGCATCTTCTGGCCGTTTTCTTGTGCCTCAAAGAACAACAGCTGTGTTCGTTGAGCCAAGGAATATTTGAGTCACTGCTTCTGTCAAATATGGGTTTGTCATGAATGTTAAAATTTCCTTGATACTACTGATGAGATACTAGTTTTGGTGCATGAGGATGGGTCTTTTGTGATCTTCAGACACTGAACATGTTTATTATATTATTATTTAATTATCATCGGTATGTATGAGTCTTCCATTGTTGATTATTGAACTTCTAATTAGTGTCTCTATTTACTCAATTATTGGTCTGATTTTAAAAACATGAAAGGGAAAGGAGGCGTGAGATATATTTTTTTTAATTTTAAACTGATTTTTATTTAAAATAAAAAATTGTCTTTTCTTTTTTCTAAAATATTTTTTCCAAACGATCAACTCAATGAACTCAATAAATTGTATCAAATTAATTAAATAATTGATTTTATCTTCATTAGTTTAGTTTTCAGGATCATATTTTAAGATTTGAGATATTTTTTTTCTTTAAATAAATATATGTTCTAATTAATATTCTAAATTTTGACGTTATCATTGGTCTTTTATGATGAATTTATATATTTTTATAGTATATTTATGAATTTTTTTCATTTTTTGAAATGATTTTTTTAAAGTGCATATTAAGTTATCAATGTGATGACCTGTATCAAACCTAACCTTTTTTTCATTAAGTTGATTCAATTCAGATTTATTGATTTTTAAAGCTGAACCAAATTAAATCAATTAATTTTGATTGGTTTAAAAATTTTCTCTTCCAAAATCGAATAAGTCTAGTAATCTACGTATATACATCCCTATAGAATATCTTCAACATTGACAACAAGTACAAGGGTTGGAACACATTATATTTCCCTCACCTTATATTATTTCTGCTATTTTATTCAAATTATCTTTACCTAAATTGTTTCTATTACTTAATGTTCTTGATTTTTGCTAAATGTTTGATGGAGAAAATATTGTGCACTAAGATATGCATCTTACATAAATATTTAAGTAAAATAGTTTTTACTTTTTGTGATCGAAGGAGTTGAGATTTTTCTGAAAAAAAAAAAAAAAAGAGTAATTCTAACAGCAAAAATTCTCATTATATGATATAACAATAAAAAAAAAAACTATTGAGCAAGCTATTCATAGCAAGCTTGTTAGCACATTTATATATAAAAGACTCTAATATTTTATTCTGCATTTTTTGAAAGTTTAAAAGAAGAGGGGGAAAAAACAGTTTGAAGGATAAGGAAGGAAAGAGAAAGGAGGATTATTACAAAATTTTCTAAATTGAAAAAATATGAGATTAAAGAGTTTTGAAGAATTTATAAACTTTTTTCCTTTTATTTAAAAATCCTTAAATAAGGATAATTATTACATAAGTCTTTTCATTTTCTCCCCTTCCTCTAAAAACCAACTCCTAAATAAGGCCTTAACATATGATAAATTTTTAAGATTAAGAAGCACTAACCACACATTTGACACCAGTTAAACTTTGTTTAGGAGTTTAAAAGAAGAAAAAAATTGATTTGAATGATAAAGAAAAGCATAAGGGATGAAAAAGGAATGTTAATAAAAAAAAATTTCAAACTATGGAGAACTTAAAAATATGATATTAGAAAGAGTTTTGAAATGTCTATGATACATCCCTCTCTTGCTTAAAAACTCTTAGACAAAGTCTTGAGGAATATAGTTGTCGTTTCACATATTTAAACCAAATTTCCAAACTAAGTTAAGCCCCATAATGTTTAAAGTAAAGTAATTTTGAACATAGAGTATATATCACACTGTATTATTGTTACATTCATTTTTTAACTATTTTGAATAGGAATATCTTAAAATATTTTTTATTTTCACAAGTTGAAATAAAAATATAAGAATAACACATAAATTTTTAACATTTTTTATTTTTAAAAAACTGTTAATAACAAAATATTGAATTTATCTATCTACTTTCCATTTAATTCTCTTTATTTTTATGGCGCATTCTCTACTTTTCTTTTCTAAAGGTTTTTTATACTTTTTTGGTTTTATTTTTCTTTTATATATTCTCATTAATAATATTTAAAATATATATTTTATTTTCAAGAATTGTCTGAGAACTCTTTTTTGTCAACTAGAAAATGTTTTATTTTTTTGTCAAAAAACTTTGGTCCATATTAATAGATTTGAAGGTTCGAAGTCTATGTCCAATAAGTGGTAACAAACAACTTGTTGAGCCAGGTAGTGAATGAAAGCAAAGACTAAAGAAGGCCCAGAAACATGGCCCAGCCCATATTAGTTTATGTTTCATCTGAGATGAGAATGCTGCAACAAGAGTTGTTTGTGATTCGTGAGCTGCACCTGCACCTGCACCTCTTTTCTCTCTCGACAATCCCGAATCAGAGGTAGCAATAGTGCAAGTGCTATTTCTCAGTGCGTGATTGACTGTACGGTGAGCGTTGCTACACCATTTCTTTCGTTTCAATTCTCACTCCTTAATTTAGGTCTGTGTTCATATGCAAGTATTAACATTTCAAGGAATTAGGTATTATTCTTTACCATTTAAGAAAAGAAGAACATAGTAGAGAAAGCATTTGTGCATATTATTTCTATCGTGTGAATCGATTGGTTAAAATTAGCATTTTTGTGGAGCTATATTATATTATACACACATTTTTTGTTATGAGATTTCGATAATACATTTCGTATGGTAATTTATACCCACTGTTCTAGTGCATACTTTGATTTCGTTATTTGTGTCTGATCTCTTGTCTGCAATGTGTTACTCTAAAATTATAATCAATTTGTTTCTGTTATAATGGGTCTAACATTCTCTATACAAAATTTGATCTTTGTATTCTTTTTTTTTTTTTCCTCTCTAGTTTGATTCATTTATCAATTTTTTTTAGTTTTTTATAATTTTGTTTTCTGACAATTTCAGGCGACTGTTTTGCTTTGTAATTGATGGAGGCCAAATTTTTTCGCTTTCTCAAGATTGTGGGTGTTGGATACAAAGCCAGAGCCGAAGCTGCGGGTCGTCTTTTGTATCTCAAATTGGGGTACAGTCATGAGGTGGAATTAGCTGTTCCTCCTGCTGTCCGTGTTTTCTGCTTCAAAAACAATGTAATTTGTTGTACTGGCATTGACAAGCAAAGGGTGCACCAGTTTGCGGCTACCGTTCGGACTTGTAAACCACCTGAAGTTTACAAAGGCAAGGGCATAATGTATGCTGATGAAGTTATCAAGAAAAAACAAGGAAAGAAGTCTAAATAATCATATAATCTTTAGTTGATTTCATCAAATCTGGAACTCATGTACATTGGCCAGACCTTTTCTGCAGAATGATTCAGTCTAGAGTCTAGCCTTCAAACAATTTCAATGTTGGAATCCTTGAACTGAGCATTATGGATAATCAAGTCTTGGCCTTGAAACAACAATAATTTCTTGCTTCAGTATGATTGATTTGTATCTTTTAGAGTTCGCCTTACTTTGTTGAGATATTTTATCTTAGGCATTTAATATTGTGTTAAAACTTAAAACTCTCATTTTCCTTGCCACTCTAGTATGTCCCTTATGGGGGTGGGGATCCTGACCATTTTCTTTTTGTTCCCTTCTACTAAAAATTGAAATTTTGTTATAGGATGGTTCATTTTAAATTGAAATTATATGATTTAAATTCCATTTCATTTTAAATCATATTTTATCTATGATGCTTAATTAAAGCTTGTGTCCACATTTCTAAACTTGCAAGTTATAACTGGCTTCACTTTGATCTAAGCCCTTAAATGAAGTGTGTATTAAAGCTTCCTATTTTGATGTTAAGGACCTGATTACATTATGCTTCAAGCTTCCGACGTATAAGAAGCTTGTAGTGCTGGACATATCCACCACCGAAACATACTCTCTAAGGAATCTAAATGATCCCCTTTGTTTTTTGTGGTTTCCATGTTCATAGTTATTTTAACGTATTTATCTAACTTAGAAGTAAAACAAAAGTCTGAGTCCAGTATCCATTAAATGAACAAGTATTTTATACCCAATAGGGGATTATTTGGTTGGTTCCCTTTTGTAATCTATTCTGAAATTCAGTTTTTTCGTGATTTGTATTTGGTTTTCTTAGTTTAGATGATGTCTTTTTGAGTGTCTGAGAAGCTACTAGAGAATCTCTCTCGTGGATGAGTTCATGAAGCACAGACAGCATAATGATACTGCTATGGAGCATAAAATATTTGGAAGTCAGCTACATTAACTGGAGTAGTAGACTCCACAATGTTTCGGAAGCAAAAGCTTTGAATTTATTTCTTAGTTTTCTTATAGTTATTTATTATTTAATATGAAACTATTTCTCTTTTAAGATTCCACGTCTCAATGATATGCTTCACCGTTGGTGAAGAAAAGAGTATAGTGGGGGTAGTGGGGTACAGAAGTAGAAGATCTAAGCTGTAGTAAGGGAATCCATTATCAAGGGGGAATAATTTCTTCCTTCTAAATATGATTTCTTTGGTTTTGATTTTGTTTGCGTGCTACACACAATCATCTGCCAAAAATAATTCATGTTAATAATTGGGCCTCCTTCCCTGAGTAATTTTAATTATTAGCTCAGTACTAAAATTAAAGCGTTTTTAGTTTAAGTAAATATTTTCTGTTTTTTTATTTTTATTATAAAATATTATAATTTTTTGTTTATTATTTTTAAAGTGTTGTATAAGAAGCAATGAAAATAAATGGCATTTTATAGTTTAAAATATTGAAAGATTTTCTGCATTTATCTTGTTGAGAATTCTTGTCCTTAATAAATCCTTTTTGCGGTTTGAAAGATTTCTATTTTACTATGCATAAACAAGGTTACAGTTGCCAGTTATTTCATTTTAATTATTTTAATTTAATTATAAATAAATCATTACTTTCTCACTTTATATATCTCTTACTTTAATAGAGTTAAATCCATAATTTTGGTAGGCATAATTTTCTCTTCATGGCACTGCATCATCTTGGTATCATGTTGAAAATATATAACCTCACAGCTTGTAAACAGATAAATCTCAATTCAATTCCTTTTTATAACTAAAAAAAGATCAATTTGAGCTAAGAAAATTCCAAGTTGAAAGGTTACTGAATTTTCCAATTTAAATAAGATGAGCTAGTTGTAAGTATACTTTTGGATTATGATGCATGACAGAATTTAATGGTCAACTAGATAACAAGTTATCCATTTGAAGAATAATGTCAAGACACTAAGGATACAATTCAGACTAAATTCATGTTAGAAAATAACGATGGAAGGGAAGGGAGAAAATTATTGCTATAAATAAGAGAATTAAGAAAAGTAGCGATAGTTTAGGGACAAAAAAAAAATAAAAAAATAACTTCACAAAAAATTATAAAAACGGCAAGTTGTTGGAATTCTCAAGTAAATACAGGGTAGCATGATGGCCTTTTAGCTTAGAGTGTTTAAGTGTATAGTATTAATCAGCTTATGCATTACAAAAGAGAACATAATATTTTAGTAGTTAATTATTTAATTAAATCGTTCTCTTTCACAATTTACTATAGGTACATTTTAAAGTTAGAATTAAGTGAAAAATGATGTCTAAATTACTATTTTTTATATAAAAAATATTTTATTAAAGGAAATAAATTTATTTCATAAGATCTTCATATTTTAAAGGAAATAATTCTTAGATGTCAACTGAAAAATACTTTTAGTAATTCAAAATAATGATAATAATAATTGTTTTATTAAATCAAAACCATAAACATAATTATCATAGAAAAATATCTAGAAAAAAAATTATCTGACATATTAAAAAAAATTACATAATTATTCATGTGTTTAAAATAACAGCTTGAATTGGACCTTATGAGATTATCAAGCCAACAGAGGCAGACTAACTTTTTAACTTATTTTATATTTTGTTCTAATTTTTTTGGTAATGTGTTCTATTTATAAAGATTATATTTTAATAATAGCAAAAAAAAAAGAGATTATATTTTAATTTTTATAATATTTTACAAAAAAAAATTATCATATCTAATTCTAATCCAACACGTTTAAAATAAACTTAATTATATTAAAACCCAAAACATCATTAATCCAGTTTTACAAATTTAAAATAAATTTTGATTATGATAATAATGTAAGATCAAATATTACTTATGCTAATATTTTTTTATATAAAGTAAGCGATTAATTCTTAATTTTACAAATAACAAGTTTTTTAAAAAGTAAAACTTAGTTACAACATTATGTGACTAACTATGTGTGTATAGAAAGTAAAAATACTTAGGTTTTCTTTTCTTTTCTTTTCTTTTCTTTTCTTTTAACAGAAAATGATGTCATTTTACAATTGGGGATATTAATGTAGGAGACTCTAGCCCCACCCCAACTTGCTTATGATGTGAGATTAACTAAATCAGGTTAAAAGAAATTAAATTTATTCAAACCTTAAATTTAATGGCCCAAAGACTTAAATTTTGCAAATATATTTAGACTGACCTGTTAAATTTAATGACCTATTTGTAGGTAAAAATTTGATATCGATAAAAATACTTGTATCTATGTGTTTGATAAAATAAGTTTATTTATATCTATTTCTTAACAAAACAAGTGTAGTTTATCTCAATCTGTATACATAAAATTATTAAAATATTTTTATATATAACAATAAACATAATTATAACTTTGTTATTTTATGATGGTTTTGATATATGCTTGAAATTAATATTATACTACTACATTATTAAAAGCTATTGTACTATAAAAATAATGCAAGTGATCTTTTTTTTCCTAATTTTATAATTAATTTATTTTTAATATTTATTAGTAATTTTTTAATAAATATTTGAGAATATCCATGAATAACAGCAAACCTGTTTAAAATTTGTTTATCATATCCCCTTTTAAATATATCCACTTGCAAGCTTCCACTATTTATGTCCATTATATTCCACCCCATTGACATTTCTGTCAGGGAACTAATTAAAAATAATTTTAAAAAAAATATGCATATAAATATTAAAAGTGAAGAAATTAGTTTTAAAGTTAGATTAATTTAACCTGCCACACTATCTGTCTTCTTCCAATATTTGCAAGCAAACTATCACCTTCTCTTTCATCACTGCCAAACACTTAATTTACAGCCGAAAGTGGCTCATTGATTAATTGCTATAGGGCCTAAGATGCACCACTCTCCATTCAATTTCATCATTTATTCTACTCTTATCAGCATGCCCTTGTTCTTCTTCCACATCAATTTTATTTTGAAAGAATTAAGGGAGAATAATACTCAATTTTTTTTTTATAATATTCCTTCTTTTCCTTTTTTTTATTCTTATTATTGGAACATCGCCTGATTAATTTTCCAATATACAGAAAAATCCCTCTTCTAATTAGAATATGCTTTTTGTGAAAATTCTTTAAAAGAGTGTTATGTTTCTTAGTTACAATAATTTTGGACTAATCAATGAACAATACTAGTCACTTTCTTTCAAATCCATAGGTGTTATTTCCCACTTGATTTCATAATCAACTTGCTTCTCATACTACCTTATACTTTAAGGTCACTGTGTATGAAGTCAATATCATCACATTTTTGACAAAAAAAAATTGCCATTAATACAAGGCTCATGCTAGAAAGATATGAAATGTTCATTAATTATAGAAAAGTGTTCCCTGTTAGTTAAAACTGAAAAGCAAATTGGGTTTTGGTGAATACAACTTGCATGATTGGATTCCCTCTCTATAGTTAGTATTTGGGTTTGTAGGGATCTAAGAACTGAGCAAGTAACGTCACTCAAATGAAAATGGCAGGACAACTATGAGTCACAAACTTTTCATCACACATCAAATTGATGTCTATAGATTAATCATGGTTTGGATAATTTCATATGAAATTGAGTAGATTTTAGTCATTAATCATATAATACGAGATTGGATGTCAGGTTATAGTTTATAAAATTAGATCTACATGTGAGGAAACTTCACATGAACTCAATGATTGGGAACAAAATGTTTGTATAAAAATGTTTCATATAGTCGTGAGGAAAAGGGAGAGAAGGAAAGCTAATCATTAGTCCCTTTTTTTTCTCTCTTCGTTTGGATTAATCATAATTAGCCTTTTGGTATGTATAAAGGAGTAATAGACTGATAAAGCATGTTTACATCAAGCAACTCTATGCTTTTCTGAAGTCTTGAAAACATTGAGATCTGAATCATCTCTCGCATCTAAACATTACTCTAAACTTCTGTCACATTAGGAAAGACATCAGTTAACTCAGGTTATTAATTTTAAAATTATACTAAATGAAATTTTTATTTTAAAAATTTATTTAGAACATAAAAATAAAAATAAGCTTTTTATTCATTTTCCTTCAAAAATTTCCTCTAATTTTATGAAAGAAGATCTAGTCCAATACTAAGATTAGAGCATGCTACACGTTACTTGTGCTTAGGCTTATTTAGGCTCTTTGTCTTGGTTAGAAAATAAATTTTGTCATTAAAAATCTTTAATTTTTAAAATTAAATTTAAGCAACTAATAATAATAATAATAATATTTTATTAAAAATATTTATCACACTTTTATACTTTAAGGTAATGAAGATTCTTTTTTTTCAACAAAAATATAATTTAAATGCTTAAACAGTTGAAACTAACAATAAAAATAAAAAATCCTTCCTTTCAACCATGCTAAAAAATGTGTATAGATTAATTTAAACGGTTGAATTTGCATTGAAAATTGCACCACATTGAATAACCTTCAAGTTAAAAAACAAAACAGGCACTTAGCAATACTTTTACAGGAGAAATTGTGTAAAGTAAATATGAAAACGAGGAAAAGAAACCTGAAATGTGTGAGTTACAGAAACAGTTCCTCTTAGATGTTCTTTTACTACAAATAAAAACAGAGTGTGGGAAGCACAAGAAGTCCATGGAATGTGTGGTCATGCAAGCATGACATAATACAAAAGCATAATAGTAGAAACTCTTAAATATAAAAGTTAAGTGAAGGGTGCACCGCAGATTCCGTGGTTCCAGGCTTGCACTCCAATCATCTCGTGCACAAATCGTTGAGGCAAAGTAATGGCCTATTGCTTGCTTCCCTGATTCTCTTTCTCTCTCTCTCTCTCTCTCTTTCTCTCTCTCTCTCTCAAAATAGTTTACACATGACATGCATATCTTGCACTCTATATGTCTTTCTTCAGCAAAACGTGTTAGTAACTAAACCCAAGTTATTGCTCCTCAACGCCCATCAAGGACCACAAAATTTTTTGGGTGATAACTCATATCTCACATTCATTAAAATATCATATAAAAGTGAAACAATCATAGGGTTGATTAATGGGACTTCAATTTAGTATTGCTAGTAAGTAACAGAATTAATTGATTGGGGGCATAAGTTCTAGGTTCCATTTTCTAGTGGTTTACAATTGAACCTTTTGTGCGGTTTAGTTTAGATGACAAAGTGAGTGAGGAGTTTAAGAAAGCTTAAGTTTTGTGCTACAAAAATTTAGATTTACTTTTCTAATGGTTTACAATTGAGCAAAATTGGTGCAAATAACAAGACAGAAAAGCTTTGTGTGGTTTAGATGTCGAATGTAGTGAAGGAAGATTGAGAGGTTGGAGTCACATGGAAGTTATATATAGAAAAGGGAATCCACCCCATGAATGTGAGAGTGGGGGTGGGAAATAGTAATTACTGGGCATGCTAATATGGTGCCACCAAGCTTTGGTTGGGGTAGTTTTCATTTCGTGAAGTGCGTTGGCAAAGTGTGAGAAAGAGAGTGTGGGACGGACTATGTGTAGAATAAACCACTCCTTACCCATCTCTTCCAATCTGTTTACCCTGCACCACACTCCCCAAATTTGGTCACTTTCTGTTAAATTGCATTATTTTTGGTTTATCCTTTTCCTAAGTGCTATATTCTCTCTTTAAATTTCTAAATTTCCAAACCCCACTACCCTATTAATAAACACTTCCAAAAGTTGGATTGAGGGGCTGATTCACAGTTACTGTTGCATTGGGTGGCTTTTGACTCCCCCAGCTTATAATACCCTTCACTCCTTATCTATATATAATAACCAACCACACTTCTCTGCTTCCTTACAACCCTCCTTTTCTCTCTCTCTCTCCCTCCCTCTCTGTCTTTTTAAGGTTAAGGCTCTCTTGGGTGGTGTCAGACCCAACATGGAAGCACCAGATGAACTCTCTTTGGGTTCCAAAGACCACACCAACATTGTCAAAGGGAAAAGAACCAAAAGGGTAAGGCCACAATCCCCTATTCCCTTCTCCATCACTGCTAATTCTTCCACTGGAGAAGGAGAAAGAGAAGATTGTTACAATGGTGTTGATCATGATGATCACAACAACAACAACAACAACAATAACAACAGGAACAGCTCCCCCGCCACTTCTTCTGCAGGCTTACAAGACAGCACAGATGAAGAGGAGGACATGGCGAATTGCCTCATCCTCCTGGCACAAGGACAATCCCGGGAATCCCCAAAACTCGCCGAGGAAGACGGTGGCATGAACTATGCCAGGTATAGCAGTAAAAAATTCTTGGAAGCTGCTACCTTGGGGTCTAGCAGGGCAGGGTATTATGTTTATGAATGCAAGACATGTAACAGAACTTTCCCTTCATTTCAAGCACTTGGAGGCCACAGGGCTAGTCACAAGAAGCCTAAGGCAATGGCAATGGCAATTGGGCAAGACAAAAAACAAGTCTTTTTGTCTTCAGATGAAGAAGAGTTTCAATTGAAGACCAATAAATCATCACTTTCCTTTCAATTGAATGGCAGGGGAAATTTGTACAGCAATAACAACAAGTCAAAGGTTCATGAGTGCTCTATCTGTGGTGCTGAATTCACATCAGGACAAGCACTTGGTGGCCATATGAGACGCCACCGAGCACCCGTGGGAACCAACACCGCACTTTCTTTGACCCCAATGGCTTTGGAACCAGAAGAAGATCATCCCAGAAAGAAAAGGAATGTGTTGAATTTGGATTTGGATCTCAACCTTCCTGCCCCTGAAGATGATCAAAGAGAATCCAAGTTTGCCTTTGCATCCAAGCAACAACAACAACAACAACAACAACAGCATGGAAATAAACAACAACAACAACAAACAAGTCTTGTCTTCCCCGCCCCAGCTTTGGTGGATTGTCATTACTGACAAGGTTTCAGTTTTGCGTTTCACATGATCAGGAAACTGGGTTTATGTGCAATTTTGGCAAAACATTTGTTGTCTGATCTGATTCTTTTTGTTTTCCTTTCTATACATTTTATCAAAATTTACATTATATGATTCTTTTGATTCTTTGTCAACATGATCAAGCACCTAGTGATTATGGGGTGTGTTCAGTTGTTGAATGGAGAAAGTTTTTAATTTGTTCTCTGAAAAGACCTCAACAACTCATGGATAGCGCATGTTGGGTATCTTTTTTCACTTCTTTTTCATTGGTTTTTGGCTCTTTTTCCGTGCCAGAGAATGTGATGTATTATGACTGTAGAGAGAAAGAGAGGCAGTGAGGGTGTTTGTACTATCCCAAAAGTCTTTGTTTAAGTTTCATTGTTCTCTCTCTCTCTCTCTCTCAATGTGTGTTCCCTCGTATTGGTCATGGAAATAGAATAAAAGCAAGCAAAGCCAGTAAGTAACTGCTATTCCCACATGAATCCTCAAGGTGTCCTTTTTCGCCTTTACCAATTTGTTTTCATTAAAAAAATGTTACTGTTCAGCCAATTTTGTTCTTTGCATTGCTTATCCTTCTCTGTGCCGTAGTTAATTGCCTACTCATTACACCTAAGCAACCCCATGAAACCATCCTGCAAAATTGTCTTAGATACAGCTCATAAATACCAAAATTAGAGCAGATCAAATCCACAAACGAAAGTAAAGATCACAGTTCTATTGAATTATGCTATTTATTAATAAACTGAATGGATTTTGAGTCACATCACTTTATTTTCTTTGTGATGAAGTAAAAGATAGAGGCGTTGAAGAAAAATGAGTTACTCCAGAAGTGTCGATTTACACTCAACCTAATATTATTAAGGCTATTGCATTTATAAGATTAATATACAAACATTTTATAACTAAGTTTTTCTTTTCTTTTCTTTTTTATTTTTGTTAAGAAGTCAAAACTTGGCATGAGATCACGTCAATACAAGTTGAAGATGTGTTTAATTACTAAGAATGAGTTTATCATAAGTACGATGAAAAGCAAGTGAGAGATTGCAGAAGAGGCAGCGAAAGTTTACCAAGTTGAGTAGGTTACTAATTAGTATTAGGAGATTCACTTGCCAAAGTTAATTTAAGGGTTCACTTGCCAACTTATTGTTAAATGATCATGCAAAGAACATATAAATTTGGATAGCTTTTTTTAAGGAAAAAAAGTGTTTGGTCATAAACAGATGGAATCAAATGCAAACAAATGGATTAACATTTATTTAATTTAGGCCAGTTTTTAAATTGGAAATGAATCGATAAGCTCTTAACATAAGAAGACCAATTGGATGTCTTTTTTTCTCCCAATATATAATTAGAATTCAAATAATTAAAGTCACGATTATCTCTATTAAATATGTGAATCAAAACATAAGAATTGTTTCAATTAAATTTAACTTCAACACAGTTGTAACACAATTGTATTATATATTAAGAAGAGAATATAGTGAAAGACACAAGTGGTTTAAATAAAATAAAAAAAATATTCTATCTTAGTATCTCATTTAATTTTGGAAAATATTTTAAAAATATGTGAATATTAAAAATAATTATTATTATATACCATGTCAAGTTTTAGACATTCAAATAACAGATCTGTAAATTTTATGTGGCAGGTCTAATTGGTGTCATGTGGTCCCCTTGATTCGCCAAGCTCATCTACCTAGAATACTCAGTACCTGACATTAAACAGTGTCATTCTGACAAATTTACAATTGAGATCCGAACTAAGACATACACCAATTGATTTCGGCCCAAATGATTTTATGGGTTCCAAATTATCAAGAATCCATCTCAGATAGGGGTGCAACAATCACTCTTGTTCCAAAGTTTGATGATTTTGGTCTAGTAATAATATGGGATACAAATATAATACAATAGGAACATGGAAGATACAGAAAAATTGTAAAATCAGAACACAATACAAAGCGAGCATAATATAATATAAATCTTAATTTACAAGAAAAAATAGTTTTAAAAAAATATAAGTCATGTGGCATTATAATTTATTTTATTACTGTAATTTGCTTTTATGTAAAAAAATATAAAATACAACTAGAGTTTTGAAGTCTCTTGTATGTCTACTTTATCTTTAGGGTGCACCTATTATACTAGACAAAAGAGTATACTCACAACTATTTCTAAAGGCAAAGTTTACGCTATACGCATAGTATACGCATTACGCAATACATCACTCTTCAATATACTTTGCCTCTACCACACACTTTACCTACCTCTTTCATCTGTTACTTCTAAGTTTGTGGGTAACATGACACTTCAAATCCAAACTAGACAATCACGTTTTGCTATTCATCATACAGTTTTTAATAACTATATAGTAACTCTTTGAAAGAGACATGTTATTTGTATATATTTTTTAAATAGGCATCTTACAAATGTGTAAATATTTTCCTTTTCAAAACATATCTGTAACTACAGTAAAAATAAAATATTATTTAATTTATTGATTTTAATTTTTTTGCAGAAAAGTTATTGAAGTTATGAGTTATGTAACTCATATTTTGTGGATTTTGAATTGATTAAAATTACATAAACACCATTTGTATCTAATTATAATTAAAAATTAAATTGACCATTAGTTGCAAAAATGTTACTAATGTTATTTACAGAATAGTTAGCTTCACAAGTGAACACAATGGTAGTGTTTGAGTTGGATTTGACTCCTTTGAGGCGCACTTTACATGATGTAGTGGAAAATGATAACAGTTGAAATCAAGCATTAAAACTTCAACAACTCAATAAAGTATTGTATAGATTTACGTATTTTATCACAATTTTGCTAGTTATAGACATTCTATAATAATGTTTATTTGTAGATCTTAGCTTTGTGTATGTAACATTGCTAAAACTTTTCAGTTGTTTGCATAAGTCTTTTGCACATTAAGTCTCAAGAACATGAATTTGATCCCCATCAGGTTAATTTTTGCTAATTTTTTCAGTCTCAATCACAGATCCAGGTGTGGCTGATTGCCGTGTAGGAACTGCCAGGTTTATTTTTCAGCTTAATTAGCTTTGTCTTATCTTGGAAGCTCAAGAAAAAAATCATCAAACGGTAATGAACAGGATAGCAAGTGTAATTTTGATTTCATTGCAGGAATTGGTGAAATAAAGTGTAACTGTTGCATTAGCGATAGCATATAAACCACATTTCCACCAGTACGTTGTAGTGAGTTGATAGGTCAGTTTAGTGAGAGGGGACATTAAGAGAATCTATCAAAGAAAATGGAAACATCATGATTTATCATATAATTGAGAGAATTACATGGGAACGAAAAGGGACCAGATGAAACAGTAAGTTGTGAAAAATATTTGCTAGTAATGTGCCAATCAAGACGCCTTCGCATGTTGTTGAAACTAAAACCAGTATAATTTTCCACCGTTTTATAGATTAAGAAACATACATCAAGTGTGGCCAAAGAATGACACTGCAAATCTTAACTTGTATATATTTTGAAAGTTAAACAAGTAACATGATTGAAGTATTAAGTAACCAACATTCTTGACGTAATTAACTAGTTACAAAAGAAGAAAAAATATGGTGAATTGCTTTCATTCTTGATGTAACAACTTAAAAAAGAGAAAAAAAAAGTGGAATTTTATCTTTATGCTGATCTGCATTTCTCTCTCCAATCTCCTGAGCAAAGGGTGAAAACCCTCTCAATTAATGGAAACCAATATAGAAGAAACATATGGCAGAGGTGATCATAGCAATCAGAGACCTATTATTGGTACAAAGAAAAAACACACAAATAAGAACCGTATTAACATATAAGCATTTCACAAAAATGATGTCATAAGTCAAAATACACTAACCTTGTTCTACCATGTGGATTATAAGCCTTGGATGATGGAGTGTTTGGTGATGGTGACGGAGCAGGAGTTGGAGCCGAAGGTTGAAATTTACCTGTGAGCATTCAAAAGTATCAATACCACAATCATTGTTTTCATCATCATTCAAGAATGAAAGTAAGCAAAGAAACTTTTCACATAAACTAACCACATAGAAGGAGATTCTGTGGAGGTGGCCTTTCTTTTGCAGGGTTGGGATCAGGATCATAAACCCTCACATAGAGTTCCTCACCTAAATACCACTTTTTCAAGTTCTGTGATCTCAAGTTCCACATTCCTGGGTTGTCAGGGTACACATACACTGCACTCCACCCTCTCGGGTACACTTGCACAGTGGAACGAGCTACAGGATCAAAAAGGTTATATTTTGACCGTGATTCTGGTGTCCATTCTCCTTCCCCCAATCTAAACAGGTAAAAAACATTTGCTATTTATCAACTGGGAAATTTCATATGCAGAAAATGTGCTGATTTTTTTAATTTACAAGGGCTGCTGAATTACATGAATGATTGAGAATGGAGAAAAGAGATACTGACAATTATATAAGAGTTATGCTACAATAAACTCAAGTTCATAATAATATGTCAATATATCTATAGACAACTTCATAATACTTATAGTTTCGACTTTTCCTATTGAATTATCTAAATGCTGTCATGTATGGTATTTAAAATGACCCCGATTTTATAGTAACACAACTCTAAGAAGAATACTGAAATATTTGCCATACGTTAAACTTGATGTTAAATGTATAAGGCTTACAGTTGTGCAGTGACACAACTCGATAATTTTAGACTTAAAGAGTGTTTTTGAATTGACTCTAAATTCACTCAAACGTGAATCCATTGCAATACTATAAATTATAGTTTTCACATTAAAATGTGTTTTTAGTGAACTTCCAAACACACTTAGTGAGGTATATTCCTATGTTACACTTACCCAACAACAAAGAAGCTATATCCATCCAAATGCCAAGCATCAATGGAGTCTAAAGTGTTATTAAGTACTATCTCCGTCCACCCTTTATGTAATGCACTTGCTACAAAAACTCCACGAACGGCGTTAATATTTGAAGAGTTCTTAGAATAAGCATCAAGTTGATATACTCCAGATCCATTGGAAAAGTAATCAGCTAGCTTCAGTGGTGTATCTGGGGTCAAGTAGGAGACATTGTTGACAGTGTAACGAGATAACCGATCAATCGTTGCTTTTGATGTCTGTAGAATGAAAGTCTCAAATATTGTCACATTTGTTACATTAAACGTTCCCTGAGGATTAGGCCTTGCAGCTGCAGTGGTCAGGTTCCACCTTCAGTTCGAATAGACCCATAATGAGAATGTATGTATTGTTTTGAATATGAAATTAAAATCATATTTACGTTTTCATAACTGCTGAAAACTGTTTAAGAGGCATTATTGCTATTTCTAACAATATATTAGGTTGGCATTAGACAGATAAACAAAACCCGGAAACTGGTGAAGCTCTTTTTGAGCATACAAAGCATCATGTTGAGACATGAAATTACCTAATGGACTTTGCTTGGTTGATGGAAAAATGCAGATCAAATGGATCTGGACCACGTGGGAGAGACCCATTAGCCCGTGTGGTAGAGTTATCGTAATGAAGCACAGCAACGCCGACAAGAGTGTTCATATCTGTGTCATGACTCATTTTAGGAGAGGCCACTATGTAATAATCAGCAGCATTTTGGTTTGCTGTGACAAGAACTGAGTAGGATTGGCCTACATGAACATCAAGAGACTCCAACTGTATTTGATTGACATAAGATCCTTCAGTTTCAACCAAAACCATTCGATGATTTTGAATCCTGAAATTGAAGCTCCAAGCTGTTCCTACGTTTGATATCCTAAGCAAATATGTTTTACCTTAGACACATTATCATAAGAGAATTAAATTAGTACTATACAGCATGATCACAAAATTTGAGTCACTAACACTTCTCTTGTTCATTTCTTACCTTGTGTAACATTAAAGGTCTCATATGGTTTAGATAAATTGTTCATATATCGTCCTTTGCCATTTATTAGCATCCAATTAGGGGAAAGAATATCTGCTGTATCCAATCTGGACCTAATATCCTAGTTGAGATTGTATCAAATATATTCACTATTCAGAATTATCAAATCCAAAAAATATATAAATAAGTAACTACAAAAATAAATTAAAGATCCAATAATGGAGTGGCATTCTAGGACTTGCTCTTGCCACATTATCAAACTCAAAAGTAATAATCAATGGTCCAATGACAAGAAATCAAGCAATTACCTTGTAGCTACTATTGTACCAGTCACCAATTAAAAGATCAAATTCTGCTTCAGGTTTTGGAAAAGGAACACTTATCACAGGGCGATTGTTGACTCGAATTGGACCATACCCTCCACCAGCTTTGAGGAAATTGATGGAAGGGAAGTAGAAGAATGTGCCAATCTGATCTTTGGTTTGGAAAACATAAGTCCAGCTCCTGCCAGGTTGGATGGGGCAGTTTGTACCAGACACTCCATCTTGCCATGAATTTAGCCTTTGGTGTATGCCATTCCTACATCAGAACCAAAATTTTATATATTTAGTGCACGGTCCCATTCCTAAAACTAAAAAAATATCATAATATTAAAAAAATATCATAATATTAAAAAAATATATGATTCTTGGAAGTTGCCATTAGGATTTGTCTTCTTATGCCTCTCCTAGTAGCAAAGCCATTTGTCCAAGGTCATCAATATTGACTTTGTTAATTTCAAGGAGTGTTACAAGGCTTTCTGTAGCTTCAATTGGGACTTGAACATTTGTTTTACAACTTTAACATCCAGAAAGTTCTCGGAGATTATTGAAAGAGAAACAAAAAGGCACTACACGGCATATTATATACCATGTAAACAACAGGGGTTCATCCAAACCATTGAAAACATTGACATTAATATTATCATCTGTTGTTGCATTTATAAGGGGTCCAGGGAACATGCCATTGATTGTTATAACCTGCCAATCATATCAGCAATGAAATTAGGCAACAATGCATATGATCCAGACAAATAAAAAGATGAATAGACCAAAGGGTACAATCCACACCGGTTGATCAGTAGACACTGGCTTTAAATTGAAGTCAACAGAAACGTGCCAATCAAAGAATATATCAGCACTGTTGGCTATTGTGACAAAGTGTGCTAGCAACACAATTGCACATGTACCAAGTTGTAGTTGAGGACCAGAAGAACCTGCTGCCATTGAGACACGACCATAACTTGTAGATTTGGTTGCGACTACCATTGCCTCCTAGTTGTTACATTTCAAGAGCTAGACGTTAACACAGTTTAAATAGCCTTGAATGTCTCAGTTGCTGAACGTAAGGAAGGAAAATACAAGAGGTTCGGTTAAACTCAAATGTTATAGCCGGCCAAAGTGAAACATTTTAAATTGGATTAATGTTGATTTTTATAATTCTTCCATTAGAAATTGCGAATTTTGAACTTCATATTACTAGAGCCTTTATCTCAAGTGCCACTAAGTGTCCTTGACCTTAATATCCACCTTCTAGCATAGCATGTATGAAGAAGTTAATCAAGATTTTAGTTTTCAAAATATTCATTTGGTTCTTTCTTACATAATATCTATGCAATTGATTTTAAAAGAATATGTAATAATTGTTCTAACTAATCAACTAAGCTGGTTAAGATACGAGACATAAATGTGAACATGCAATTCAATCTCCAACTATGCGTTTCACTCTTTTACCATTCTCTTGTCCTCCTTTATAACACTTAATGAGTCATTCCTTGAACCAATATGTGAAATTGAATTTATGGAAATACAAAATATATTCATGTCAATTAATATATTTCTTTGGTATATTAGACCAAAGTGCCTGTAATTTTAGGGCTGAAAATTCAATATCCTGGTTCAAATCTCCATATCTGTCCAAACAAAAAGAAAAAAAAAAACTTGATAGATTACAAAATACTAAAAGATACTATCTTACCATCCCGACGTGCACGTAAAGGAGCAGAAGTAACATCCCAACGTGCAAGTAAATAAGTGCTCACCTTGTCACCTTACATTTTGTTGCCTTGTTGTGTCATCTTATCCAATGGCATAACAACTAATCATAAAGGCAAAAAAAAAATTGTGGAGATAGTTATCCTTTCTGTTTAGAATTTTATGGTTTATGTAAAGTCTAAATTACTTAAATGACATAGATTTTTTAGGGGATTTTTGTATTTTCTGTATAGAATCTGTAGAACAGATTTCATAGTTGTTTAAAATAGTTTTGATGAAGGAATATGAAGAATAAGGTTTTCATTTAGACTCCTTAATCTAAATTAATGTAGCGTATAAACGTATATCTAAACTAAAGCTTGTAATTGTTGGTCCACAACCATATTAGTCATTCAAAATATATAAATTATATAAAATAGACAGAAACTAAGATCGATAACAATAAGACACTTCATGCAAAAGCAACTTAATTAGCTAAATGAAACATTGAAGTAAGCTTATTGGATAGTGGAGAAGTCAATGACACAATCCATGGTTTACAAATATATTATAATGTTAATCATAAAAAGTTACTTATCACTGGTTTAAACTATTTTAATCATAAAAATGCCCCTTGATTTAGCTCATATCATTCAATCTACTTCGACCACTCTAGATTATTACATTGTTCAATAATTCTCCGAATTATTGTGACTACGAAAATTGGAGGCTTCTGTTAAACTAAGAAAATGTTTGGCCAAAAATTCTGTCCTCTCCCCGTTCAGATTACTCATATAAATACACTTAAATTACAAGTTGTCATGTTGATTTCAGCCCAATAAATCAACTAAACTACTATATATACATTTACAACTAATTATCTTAAATAAGAGAATAACTCTTACAAATATTTGTGCAATCAATCCCATACAATCCTCTTTTCCATTAATTCTATTGACATCCCTCCTCAAATTGATGCCGGTAAATCTACAAGCATCAATTTGCTAAGTAGAAAATTGGGTCGATGATGTGTTAAGGATTTAGTGAAAATGTCAAATATGTGAATAGATATTGAGACATGTGGTAGATTGATGACTCTTCGATCATAGGCTTCTCAAATATAGTGTTAATCAACCTCAATGTGTTTCGTCTGTTTATGATAAACTGGGTTTGCTGTAATTTGTATGGCACGGTGTTGTCAGCATGCAATAGAGTTGGTTGTTGTTAAGAGAATCCAAGCTCTATAAGAAGACCACGCAGCCATATAATTTCAGAACAAGCGGCAGTCATTGCATGATATTTTGCTTCAGTGGATGACTTTGAGACTGAATCTTGTTTCTTACATTTCCATAAAATAGGAGCATTCCTTAGGAACATACACCAGCCGGTAGTAGATTTTCTTGTGTCTAAACATCCAGCCCAATCAGCATCACTATATGCTTGGAGTTTCAATGATGAATCAGTAGAAAAAAATAAACCACGCTTTGGGTGCCAAGGAGGTATCTAATGATTCGTTGTAGTGCTGAAAGATGAAAATGTCGTGGAAATTGCATAAACTTGTTTACTGTGTGAACAACAAAAGAAATATTAGGGCGAGTGATAGTTACATAGATGAGACTTCCCACCAGTTTGCGATATTGAGTGGGATCATCCAGAAGGTCACCTTCATCTCATCTATATTTAACATTAACTTCCATAGGAGTGTCAACAAGGGTTGCATTTGTAAGTCCAACTAGCTAGACCAAGTCTTGAATATACTTTTGCTAATTTAGAAAAATGCCATTATGATGATAGTGCACCTCTAAAGCAAAGAACTAAGTGAGTTGGCTTAACTCTTTCATATGAAAAGTTGAATGCAATAGGTATTTGATTCTAGAAATAACATCTTAATCGAAACCAGTCACCACAATGTCATCTACATAAACAAGAAGCACCACGATGCCTTGAGGAGTCCTTTGTAGGAAAAGAGATGAATCATACTGACTTTGAGTGAATTCAAAACCAAGTAATGTTGATCGAAACTTTTCAAACCATACTCTTGGTGCTTTCAATCCATATAAAGATCGTTTTAGTTTGCAAACTATATTAGGTGAAGGTGTAGGCATACTATTAGGAAGTTTAATGTAAACTTCCTCCTGAAGATCACCGTGAAGGAATGCATTTTTTACATCCATTTGATGTAGCAGCCAAGATTGTGATGTAGCAAGAGCAAGAATAGTGCGCACGGTTGTCATCTTGGCGAGCGGGACAAATGTCTCATTATAGTCTAGTCTATACTCTTGCTTGTTTCTAAGCACAACCAAATGAGCCTTGCAACGATCTATGGATCCATTCGAACACAACTTTATAGAGAACACAAACTTGCTTCCCAAAGGTTTAATAGATGATGGACAGGGCACTATGTCCCATGTTTGATTTTCTTCCAAGGTGAGAAGTTCAGTTTCAATAGCTTTCTGCCAACATTCATTCTCCATGGCCTGTTTATAAGAGGAAGGAATAGGAATAGAAGATAATGATGTTGTCATGGAAGTGATATACCTTTCTGGGGGCTTACTAACGCATGAGCTGCGTCGTAGAGGAGCTGGTTCTGGTTCTGGTTCTAGTTCTTCTACTAGACCAGCAGCCAAGGAATCATCTTAAGGGGGCCTATGAGATTGGATTGGTTGATTATAGGTGGCAGTGCTACGTCTTTTGTAGGTCAAGAAAGGTTTAGCAGATTGTAGAACTGCATGAGAGTTAAAAAACAATGGCGAAACAGAAATTGGAGAAGAGAAAGGATCATGATGTGATGCGAAAAAATATATATTTTCTTAGAAGATAACATTTCTAAATACCTGAATTCTACGAAGGTTAGGATCATAACATAGAAAGCCCTTTTGATAAGGAGAATATCCAAGAAAAGCACATTCAACAGAGTGCGCAATAAGCTTGGTGTGTTCTTGTAGAGGAAGATGGACATAAAACACACAACTGAAGATATGAAGAGTGGAGCAATTTGGTGGGTGACCATATAACTGAGTGAAAGAGGATTCCTTACCTAATGATAGAGATGACATTCTGTTTACAAGATGGACTATGGTGAAAAGAGCTTCACACAAAAAACGTGAACGCACATGACTCCAACAAAAGTGTGCGAACAACATTGAACAAATGACAATTTTTCCTTTCCACTACCCCATTTTGTTATGGAGTTGAGGGGCATGACCTTTGAGATAAAATGCCATTAGATTGCAAAATTTCTTGAAATGAGTGTGACATATATTCCCCCATTATCAAAGCGAAATACTTTTATTTTTGATGAAAATTGAATCTGAACATAAGCATGAAAAATTTTAAAAGTGAAAAAGACTTCATCTTTTGATCGCAAAAAATAGCCCAGGTGAAATGACTATAGTCAGCAATAAAAATGACAAAATATTTGTAATTAGCATGAGATATAACCAGTGTCACCCTCCAATCATCACTGTGGATGATATCAAAAGGTTATGTTGTATTAGACTGATGGGTTGGAAAAGGCAGAATTTTACTTTTACCAAGCTTACAAGGAATACAATCAAAATGAATAACATTACGAAATGGAGTGTGTTTATTTCCAAGAAAACTAGATTTTAGCAAGTTATGAAATACATTTGCGTTTGGATGTCCAAAACGCTTATGCCACCTGGTAATCAATAAGGGCAGAATTACAATAAACTAAAGGCAAAGAAAGACTTAGAGGCAACGAGAAATGAATGCTCCTTCGCTATGATCTTCCTTGATTGTTGGTCCTGCACAAGACAACCAGACTGTGAGAATTGTATTTTGTTGGCAATTAAAATAAATGGCCTTGTTTGAATGAAGATGCAAATAAATTTTATGAACACTCAAGGAACAATTTTGAACACAAAATATTTTTTTATAATACAATACTCAATACTTGGCTTTGTTAATAGTCAATTTACACACTCAAAATAATACTACAACAAAGTACTAAGCTTGTTAATGCTTTCTCTCTAATTACTCTTATTTTTCTTAAACTCACTCTCTCACAATTCTCCTTACGGTTGCACTAAGCTTTTTTATTTATGATGTTACAAACTGTGTGCCAGCTATTAATTTGCTAAATCATTTATTTTCCACTTTCTGCGCCTACCTAAACATGCTAGTTGTTTAAAACAAATTGACAACTATAACATTCATCCAATAAAAACTAAGTTGCAATATTTGAATTTTTCAAAGGCAAGTTTAATCTTCCAACTTCCTCCCTTAAACTTGACTTCATCATCCTAAGCATATTTTTTTAGCTTCAAGAACGA